CCCGGTCTGCATGTTGTTTCTCTTTCAGAAACACAGAGGACTGTTTGTATGATGCGATCACAGACACGCTGCAAACGGTGTCCGCCAAAAGTCGAGTCCAGTGTCTATGTAATGTCATTTGTATTTGTTATAGTTTGGGAAGATTGAAAATCGGTAGGGAAAGCCAGCTAAGTCGGTAGGTCGGTATAGGAACATGTCAAAAGCGGTAGACTACCGCCCAAATCGTTAGGGTTGGCAGGTAGTGGTTTAATATTGTAAAGATAATAGCATGACTTGGTTATGACAGTTAACATTATCTGACATTTTAGAAAGGAAGCTAATTCAACTATTATCTTAACTAGTATTTAGTGATAACAATAACTTCATACCATAACATTAGAGAGGAATTGTACTTTGGGACGGTGAGGTAAGATGACCATATTTCTGTAATGAACAAATAGAGAAAGGTTCAGTTTGGCAGGCCTATGGGTGTGCTCATTTGAATGATTAATTTAGTCAAAGTAGGGGAATGTGGGACAATGTATTTTGGTATTTTATCAAATTGCATAAGTGTTTGTTTTAGCAACTTTCAAAAGTATGTTTGCCCCACTATTGCTCACTTCTCTATTTCCCTGTTGTAGAAATCTAGCCTGCCCATTTTTCATTGGACATGTTGCCTTGGTAAACACAGATGCAGGAAATAATATTTATTAAGGGTGCAATACATGTAATAGTGTCAATACCTGCTGGCATGGTAAACCACTAGTGTGACCATTAGCTGCAGGCACTTAGTAATACCCTTTGTTTGCCTTTTCTGTTGGAACAAATACAACATTACAATCTGATCATGACTTGTCAACATTGAGATATCTTTATCCTCAAGATACCAACATTTCTCTCTTAAACTGGAGCTAGTCTCACCTTGTCTAACATATTTAATACGGCTTGAAACAAATCAGAACTGAATGTCTAATGTTTTTATTCCTCATGCAACCTCTTTGGCATATGGAACTTAAGTACATTTCATTGCAGGTCTACATTTGTTCCAGTAAGCTACTTTTGGAAATGAACACCGTCATTTATTCAGCCATAATAGGCCTATTTACCAAAGTAACCAGATATTTTGGTCAACGTGACTAAACCTGAGACCTTTCCATTTTTAAAATGGCCCGAGTAATCAGAGCAGGCATTTACTAAGAAAGAGCTCTGTTGTTCTAAAGCAGGATTGTCAGTGCCTTGAAAATGAAAGCTAATTCTGTTAATTTTTTATATTTAATTTCCAAATCACTATCATTTACTGTATTAATTTGAGCCTTTTCCATATATGATTGTATATGTTAATTGGATGGATGGATGGATATATATATATATGTTAATTATCATTTGATCCATTACTGAGAATAATTAACTCAAATAAGAAACAGAGAGCTGGGGTCTTTAACCATTAGCCAGCTAGTGCATGTCAATGTGATGCATGATTGGTTTTATGAAAAGTTAATGATGTCTAACTAGTGCAGACTTCTGTCCATGACCCTGGCTTGTAGATTGAGAAATGGGTTTGGTTAATATTATAGGCAATAAATCTTACTTTTCCCACTACCATTTATTTCTTCAAATTATATTCCTTGCTTCCAAAGCTGCAGAATGAGTTAAGTCTGGAGACTGTGGCTTTGTTTCCACTCAAGACTATCTGCAGACATCTGATCAGCAGGGCAAGCAGCGAGACCCCTCACCCCTCTGCTAGAGAAAGACTTTATTTCTGCTGGTTCATTTACCCAAGGGGTCTTTGCTGTCGGGGCAAAAGGAAGAGTGCATGTTGTGTGTGTAGAACAAGTTGGTCCCCCATAGTGTGTTTTGAACTCCAGAATCTAAAATAAAACATTTTAACCCCCCTCCCGTCAGCTAGCTACTTCCAGCTATTGTTCATCAGGAGACGTTTCTGCTGCCCTCTTGGTCCAGTAGGAATGTCTCCTTTACTGAAGACATTTGTTCTAGACAATTCAGCTCCTTGTAAACTTCACACCTTCCTTTTGTATTTTGTGAGCTATCATTCTATGGTTTGCATTTAGTGAGCTTGTTTAATCTATATCATAATGTGTCACCATTCAGATTTGTAGATATTTTCTTAAGACTATTCATAATTAAGTTTATGTACCTCCTTTTATTTATATATGTTACTTTCTATATTTATCTGTACTTGTTTCTGTCCTTGCACTGCTGCAACCGCCTTTCTTGTCATTGTTAAGAGGCAATTCCGAAGTCCACAAGGCTGTGACATTGATGGTCCAGTGTCAAAACAAAGTCCTACACTTCCTAAATTCTCACGTTTTGGATTAAATTATGCAGAAGAGAGCTAGCTTTTTTGTACCCTTTTTCCAGCCACCCTTATAAGAACAATTATTTTTAAATTTCCTCAAGTGATTTGACGCAAAAGCAAACATTTGAATGCTTAATTTGTGACTCTTTTGTCTCAGAATCTCATCAAGCTAAATGACTCCAACCCGGGATGTTTTAAATTGTTTCCCATGTATTCATGTGTCATTTCACTCCTTTCCTGCTACAGGAATGGGAGAGTGATGCTCGACATTTCACCACTTGTGCTGTGCATCACCCACCACAACCCCACCCAAGATCCAGTCCCCAAATTGTTGGCTGTTGAGTCCTGACATGGGCGGAAAGGTGAGGGCAGGATGTTCTTACAGTATTTACAATGCCGCGGCAGCAGAGTAATTGTTGTAGTGATAAAAGAAAACAGTCTGCGGCACATCCACACACTGCAGGGTACTGCTGGACAAAAGAGGCTTATTTACATTGATATAAAAAGCAGCATATCCTGTTTCTGTAGTTAAAAATACATCCAGCAAATATTTATTTTAAACACCTTGTTTTATCTCATACCACAGATTGTTTAAATGTTACTCCATTTCCTCTTGAGACAAGATTACTGCTGTAACCTTTAACCTCAGCACACAGAGGGTTGATGTTGTCAAAGGTAGCTTTACAAACAAAGGTCAGTGAAACATTTAGTTTAATTATCTACTTCAACTAACTAACTGTCATTTCGAAACAAGTCTGACAACAGATCAATAAGGTGAAATTGATATTCATGCAATCACAATTGAAACAATGTTGTAATAAATCCCATTGAGGTTCATTTTGGAGTGGAGTCTTCTACTATGAAAAGATATATTCACTTTCATTTTAATTTTTACATATTTGTTATGGTTTTAATATTACATAGTTATCCATCATGTAGGCTATAGGTCTGCCACGTTGTGTTGCAGGATTGCTATAGATAATCGTTACTTCTCATGAACTGATCTCCTTCTCAGTAGCCTGAAGAAGGGAGTTTGTCCCCCCCAAATGTGTGACGTTGCGTCCTTCCTCTGTGTCTCCATAAAACGTGCCTCACGCATGGACTGCAAGTGGTGCACGGAGGCGAGAGGGAGGAGAACTTGTCTGAGGCGCGAGAGAGGCAGGAGCTGATTGATTTGGTTGTGTGGGCTCTATCAGACAGCAGTAACAAGCAGATAAACCACTCACTCGACTTTTATTTTTCAACAAACATTGAATTACATCAATTTAACTTTTGGGGGAATTCGAGAGCACCTGCACGGAGCATCCAGCGGTTCCTCCGTCTCCTCTCTGCCGGGTCTGGAGTCCCCAGCTGCGCAGGAGAGCTCCCCTGCGAACCGCGTCATGGGATACAGCTGAACCACCGCCGCTTTTCGCGTGTACACCTGAAGCTTTTTGTGGATTTAAAAAACGTTTAAGAAAAAGAAAAACAGACTCGTTTATTTACTCGCTTTAAGAAAAACTTCATTCAGTCGGGATTATAAGCCTTTGCCACGGACTCTTATCACTTTATTTCTAACGCACGGTTGGGGTTTGGTGGAGAGTTGCAGGATGGGCTCATCCAACTGCTTCAGATGGGCCGTTGTCATCTTGTGTTGTTCATCACTCACACATGGTAAGATGTCATTCATACTTATAGAGATTTGTTATGTATGTTTATATTGTTTTATACAAGAGATAACAGCGCTGTTTGATTCGTTTCAATGAATGGCATAATATTTGACACTGTCAGTCATTTGGAGGAAAAATAAAGAGAGTGGCTTATTTTTATTTATCTTAATAATTGTCTTAATACATTTAACTGAGCTCTTGAGTTCAATTATCTGTCGTTTTTTTTCGATTCTAACATTTGATCAATATGTTTTATTGTTTATGGATGTATACGTAAAATACTACAATTGTCATGTAAGGAACATTACATGACCACTGTTAATGCTGTTAATAGACGAAGCTGCAGTCCTCAAACACACCGCTAGAGGTAGTCTCAGCCCATTGTGACAGGAGCATTTCAAATGAAATAAAAATGTGTTGATGTGACAGGTAATTGGTGGCCTGATTTTTACATTTTTATATTAGACTGGTTTAATTTTGACATTTGGTTTTGTTGTTTTGATTTTTTTCTCAGATATTCTGAGTCAGCCTTTTGTTCAATATTATGAAAAACGTTTTTCCATCAATTGTTATCTGTGAGTGAACAGGATTAAACATTTTGGGAGGAATGTGCCTGTTTCTTCAGACATTATAATCAGCTTCATTGTCTGTATTGTCACTCCACAAAAACAAGGTGGATGTTCCTCCACCTTGTGGCAGGTTGAGTGTGCCACTGAGATAGCCTTCCTCACCATTCCCAAATAAACAGCCCATCCAAACAAAGGAAATTCCATTCACCTAAACCCCCCCCCCCCTACCCCCCAGACACTTTTAGCCTATGAATCTTTGTCCGAGATGTTTCCTTCACTGTCCACTCACAAAGCGTGGGAAAGACACAAGGAGGAAGCGGATGTAGGGGCAAAAGGCAGCCTTGAATTGTTCTGGCTCGTAAAGGTAACGGAAATGTGACACGCTACCTGAGCAAAGATTTCTTCCCGGTACTCCTTGTGCCCATATTGAGCTATGTAAAAATGCATGCAGAAGACAATGGCAGGGTGGAAAGGAAAGTGTTGTTTGTGCAGAAGATCTACTGACTGGAAGAGCCATTAGTTATTGATGGGGCATCACCTTTTTTATTTTCATGTTGGGCTGTGTATCAGTCAAAGTTGTCAAATAAAGCACAGGGCTGAGCAGAAGCACAGAAATCATGGTTAACCACCAAAATTAGATGTAATGTTGCAGCCTGTCACAGTGGCAGAAAGTCATTATATTACAGATATTGACCATTCTACTAAGAAACATTTTACCAACCCTTATATATTTTAAAACTGTAATTATATGATGTTAGTTGATGTGTTTTATAGAAATCGGTAACACTCTGTTTTAAAGATGGTCTGCCCTATGGTGTTTTGCTAGTATTTCACTTGTTGCTGTTTCTTTTTGAAAAGTGACCACAGGTCAAGTGTTTTGTTTCGTGACCTTTTGACACCCTTTTAAATGAAGCATAACGGCTCAGACTGAGAGAGATACACTTTACTGCTCTCTACGACATGATTATTGCCTTTCAGATTTATTTTAGTTTGTCTCTCTAATGGTCAGTCTCTCTTGGCTGTGTGCGTATCATTTGTTGTGTGATGCATTACTATTGATTCAGTGAACTGTGTCTGTGTCCTTTTAGTTTCCGTCAATTATTTATTGTGTTGTAGTGGTGAATTTTTCAGCCACATTTTAAATTTAAACCTGAAAGCGTGCTTGTCCATGAGTCCACATTAGTCAACCCTTTTTCTTTTGTGTTTTGAAGCCGAATTAGGTGATGTTGTGTCTATTTTTTCCCCCGAGTAATTTGTTTCTTTCCTGCTCGGACACTTGAGATGGAGTGAAAAATGAGAGTGACGAGAGGTCAACCAAGTGCGGTGGGAACTCATTGCTCACTGGCGGTATGTCTGGGTTCATGGAGATAGCGTAAGAAAAACAACCGTACACACTCACACTCACCTGGATTTACCAGCAGAGCAGAAAAGGCCATTCCCTTACAGAGGGATATAACTTAACAAATTGCTTTGCGTGGCTGTTCTTATAGGATAATTGCCGCATCTGGTCCATACCAGGCATATCCATCCTGAGCCAGCAATATATTTTCTTTGAATCCGGCATGAGATTTCAATTTCAAGGAGCTTCTCTCTGCCTACAAGTCTTAATCATGCGTTATGGAACAGGATTCCTCTGGGTTAACAATTTTGGACTCTCATGCAGGCGATTCCTGTTTGTTGGCTCAACTCAACTTTATATAACCTAGAATGGCCACCCAACATGGCCAGATGTTCCTTTATTTTGCTTTTTTAAGAGGAGTCTGGGGCACTAATGCCTCCAAATCTCCAATGGCTAATATACGGCTAATAAAAAAGGACTCTCCCAAACTGTTGTCTTAACCTTGCAGTAAGCAAAGTGGTGGGGTTTACGAAGGCGGTGTGTGAGAGACACTCCAACACACAGCCAGAGCAGTGCTAGCTTCTCCTTATTCTGGCAGGTGATCCTTAGTCCTGTCAAGTTTTTAACTTTGTGTCGTAAAATGTTGTTTGTCTTGAAAATATTATTGTCTCTTATTGTCTTAATCTTATCGTGTATTGGCTCTCTCTGCATTTATTTGTCTGCTTTTATTTACTGTGTCTATTTCTGTGGCTGCAGTGAGAGATGCCAATGAAATTCCGGTATACCGATGTATGAAAATAAGATATTCTGATTCAGACCAGTTTCTTAACAGGTGGTGGAGTTGTTGCATATCTCCATTTAAACCATTACCCTTGAACTATTGAGAGATTATTGGATCATTGGTTTCCAATTCCTATGATCTAAAGGCTAACAGATTGCGTGCTATCCATTTGCTATTTGCTATAGGACAGGAAGCTCACCTTGACACAGATTGGCCACTCTTCACTACTATTTTGCTCCTACAGTATCGCCATGGACACAATACAACCAACATGACTCACCAAGAGTGACCCTGCACTCTTTTGTTAAATTGTAATTCGTTCTCCACCCTTTCTATGCCTTTTGTTGTCACCGAGTGCAAGGAATACATCGGCAAGGTTAAACCTGGGAATCATCATGCTGTATTGTTACTTTTGCCTTGAACATGCCCAAAAAAGATCTTCTCTTTAGAGACTTGTGCTGTTTAACAACGGCACAGGAAGTACAGATTAAGTGTACTCTGCTACAAAAAAGGGAATTTGCACAGTATGGAGAATAATGTTCCCTATTCTCTATTTCAGTGACAGTACAGTCATCTCGTACAGTAATAATGGTTTTTATTACCCAACATCAGGCATGTGATTTTGTTGGCATGCAACAACAGCAAGGATTATGTCATATTGCCAACAGTTACTCCAGATCACACTGTCCTTTCTTTTTGTATTTATTTATTGCAGTTTTTGTAATGTTTTTATTTCACTGAGTTTTAGTATCCTCAACCTTTAGTTCAATAAAGTTGTCGTAATAGTAACTCTGTGCATTTATTGGATTAAAGTACTAAAACAATTGGATGTTAGTTTTCCAAATATTGTTAGAAGTTAATACCAATAAGAAGTTACATATAGCTTATTCCCACTGGTTGACTGTGACTGTAATTGATAAAAAGGACCTTTAATATGAAGTGGACAAAGCTTTTTTGCAGGTCTCACCTTGGACATACACGTAGATCGAGTTTTGGTACGTCCACAAGGCAGCGTACGTTGAAGCTTGCCGGTGGGCGTGCCTGGCGTGCGACCAACAACCAATCACATTGATCTCCCTCCAAGCACGCGGTTTGATTGGCTAGAGTTTGTACTGGCATATGATTTGATTGGCTGGCGCTTTCGTCGACGCTTGAAAAGTTGAACTTTTCTCAACTTTTGAAGCGAGCAACGGAGGCAAAGCGACGAGACGGAACCACAATGCAGTTCGGCAAAGCGTGACGTCACCCCATTCAAAGTTATGGGAAGCGTCTCCGTTGAAGCACGCAACGCTGCCGTGTGGACAGGCCGTAACAGCTATCAAGTGCACCTCACTTTGTTCATCTTACCATAATTGTGTTCAAAATCAAAACGTCACCATACTGAATCATAATACACCAAAATCAAGCTTTTTTGTAATTATGCATTTTTTTAAAGTTGTCCTAACCCTACAAACGTAATGAAAGGTAAACAATGAGGAAAGTCTGGAGTTTGCAATGATGAACCCCTAGCTTAGATTGAATGAAAACACTTTTTTTCAATGTCTTTTCATTGTTATGATGCTTTCAGACTAAACATTTAAATGGTGTTTTTCAGGGCAACAAATATTTCAGAACATTTTGGAGTGCTGCAATCCAATACTGTTTGAATTGTTTCTATATTTCCTGACTGGTAGTGAACCCACCACAAGTGTTTTCCAAACACTGTGTCCTGTGCCACTTCCTCTCAATGCCAAGTGAGGACAAGGACGTATACATGTGATCCTGTTCTAATCTGAGTTAACCTAGCCCCGTCTCAATAATCACTTTGATGCTGCGTGACTGGCAAACGACCCCATCATCAGTTGAGACTGGCCCCCCTTTCTCTCTCCCTCAATCTGTTTGTTCCATGCCTGTCCTCTTCTTAATGGCTCTTAATGAGAACCAGCTTCGGGGCTCTTTGAACAACACAGTAAGCACAATTTCTGGCATTTTTCAGGCTGGAGGAATGCAGCACACAGCTGGTGGGGGGGGGGGTTAGGGTTGTCAGGACGCTTGCTGAGGTCAGCATTGGGCAAGCAATGGGGCAGGTTGGAGATTTGAGGGTGTTAATGTAGAGGGACAACCGCAGGATACCTTTTTAACTCTTTCAATGGGGCCCCTGCTGATTCATCCATCTGTAGTTTGTTACTGAGGAGAATCGGGGAAATATTGGCCATTTTAAGAGATCAGCTACCTGACAGTGCAATTCAAGGTTAAGACGATGTTTTCAGTTGCTGTTATTGTTGTTGTGTGTTCAAGCAGATGTCAGCATTCCTACATGTGTGGATCTTTTTTACATCACAAGTCAAACAACTGACTTGTTGAACGTGCAGAAATTAGTGTTGCAGACAGCACATGATACATTGTGCTTTTTGTATTACTATTTGTGTTTGATTTACTCTTTGCAAAGTTCTCAATTCCAGCATTTCAATTACATGACTTGCTGCCAATTTGCCGATGTGAGGCAATAACACTGCAGTTAAAATAATTCTCAAGGACATTCATGCTTCATTTCTCGGTAAAAGAATAAAAGATAAGTATTAACTTGTGAATTTGCTGATTCTGGGATTGTTTATAAGGTCAGGAACTTTGATTTGTATGAATCTAATACACATCTGAAAACACGTGTTATCACAGCATGAAACAGTATGAGCAACACCCCTTCCCCTCTGTATAACCTTGGACAATAAAACAATGATGTTCAAATATTTTAGAGGAAGTCAATATTGAGTGCCACTGCCAACACTGGCACCGCCGGCTTGTTCTTAACACAACAGCTGTTCTGAATAAATGAGAATGACTGTGCGCGCATTCCTAAATGCAGGTGTGCTTGTGTATGTGTGTGTGGTTTCCCAGTTTCGTGTGCATATGCCATGTTTGATGCCTAACAGTAAGCTGTTGTGCAACTCTATTGTCTTTCTTGATTCTGTGCAACAAATAAAGGTTTCCCAAAAGGCCGTCACATTGGGACATTGGGAGGGTCGACTTGGTAAACTTGTTTTCCGACCACATTGACAAGCTGTTTAGGGAGCTTGGTGAAAAGAAGGAAATCACATATGGAACTGTGACAGCTCCTGGACAGCAGTGAAGTTTCCTATGTTGATCTCTGTTAGAGAGAGCTGGCTAGGGGCCACCTTTAAAATCAAACATTTCAACCTTGGATTTTCCCTTGTGATAATGTGATAATAGCTTTAAAGTGCAAGGTCGTTGATGAATAAAAAAAAGAATTGTTCCTTAGGGAGGAAGGGTGCAACCACTAGAGCAGAGTGAGCGGTTAATTAGAGGAAACGCATGCCGAGTCACACATCAGGATCTGAGCTGCTCCCAATACCCTCCCCTGTCTCCCTCTTTTCCACCTTTTTTCTTTCTTTCTTACTGTCTGCTCATCCCAGACTGCCTTTTATTCATTACCCTGCGATCCCTGCCTTGTAAACATCCCCAGAGCTCTCACAGCGGACCATCACCATTTGCACAAGATCCATGCACATTTCCTATTGTGTTTTTCATTTCGTTTTTGTTTGTGTTTGTGTTCAACAGGACATTTGGAGAGAGAGCACTCACCTATGATTCTGCCCTCTGAAAACCCCCTCATTCTTCATAAGGATGGTTTGTTACATCTCACATGCAGGTATGCCACACACCAATTGATGTCAATGCCAAGTGAATCAAAACAGCATTTAAATCAATGGTAAATATAGCTTTTACCTTGTAGTGTAACGTAACTTAGTATTTGTATTTATTTATAGAAGGACCATGCATACAAAAACATTAATCTCAGCAAAGAGAAGAGATGCAATATGCCAGATTATAGCTAATAGCTAATTTCCATCTGTGGTCATCAGGCAGGTTCATAAAAATCAATAAACAAATAATAACATTGCATGATCTCTATCAGTCAAACAATTTTAAAACAAACCATTTTAGTACATGTACTTAAGAAATATATTGTAGTTTTTACTCCACAACATTCTTTTGAAAGTTGTAGTCAAGAGTTATTACTCTTATATTTTAGATGCAAAACATGATAAGCTTACAAAATAAAATTCTCACTCTTAAAATTACCCGGCATTATGTGAAATATTTGAATCAGCTCTACCTGAACCAGCTATAACATTACAATTCTCAGTACATGTTATTGCATCAGGAAGAAATCTCTTATTACATCATACAGTATTGATACAAAATGAATGGATGATTTTTCCACATTAGGTAGTATTATGTTTGATGATTTTGATAATATCATACTTTACTTATTTAAAGTGTCTCGATCTAAAGTAAAGGATCTGAGTACTTAATGCCATTACTGAATGCATCCATTGATGAGTATGTAAATTCCTGATTTGAGCTTTAGGGATAGTGGGACCATTTGTTAAGCATTTTTACAGCCTTGCATCATTCTGTAGGCCTGGGAGGAATGTTCAGGAAGTCGTGTCTATCTAATGTAATGCTTCCCTACAAGGCCATGTGCTAAAACGCCTGGCCCATACGGTACTGTGTTGTTTTTCTGTCACTGGATCAGAGCTTGAGGTTGCTTGACCCAAGATTCTGCAGTCCAACGCAGTGGTATGCAAGACATGTTTGATGTTCCTCTGGGATCCCTTTAATGACTGTTTTAAAATGGATGCTGTCTGGAAAGAATGTGTTAGCTGAGCACATCATTCAAGAGAAGCATGTTCCCATGTGAAAGTTCAAGTTACTGGATGACTCAAGATTAACTCAAAATAAACTTAAAATGAACATCAAGTCAAAAAGTCCCAATGGGAGAAGCAGCCACTGCAATCCTAAACCAAAAAGCTGACTTCATTCCCAGCTGTGACACTTTTCATAATATATCTGAATGCAGTGCTTGTTTTCTAGAGAACGAATCCGCATTAATGTAAGGTGTGAAATCCCCAAATAACATATTAGATGGTACATTTATTTTGCAGAAAAAAGGGTGAGAATACCTTTTTTCTTTTCACAAATCATCCTCAGTGTTCAAACTGTAAGTCAACTGAGGACTATTTGTTCTTATTGTTCATCTAATTCTGTCTCTCTGTGTCTTCTTCAGAGGCCATGGCCCACTGCAGTGGAAACTTGTTGACTCCAATCGATCGCTCTCATCCGAGGAGGTGAAGGTGGAGTCGTGTGATTCCCGACATCACTCTCACTCACACTGCAGCAAACTGACCATCACAAGTTTAGTAGCTAATGACACAGGAAGGTACAACTGTGAATACTCCAAAAATGGTTCAGCCCACTTCACCTCGATCTACGTGTATGTCCAAGGTGAGACCTGCAAAAACGCTTTGTCCACTTCATATTAAAGGTCCTTTTTATCAATTACAGTCACAGTCAACCAGTGGGAATAAGGGAGCAGGAACATGTGGAGCTCTGAATATAAGTCATTTTCCAGCATGAGAATAACAAAGTCATGTTTAGAAATGAAAGAATTGGTATATACATTAAAACACAGATAAGACACACACTTCTTTCCTTTTTGAATTGAGTTGTTTTCCTTCCATCTAGGAATGACGGGGTTTGTTTTTGTGAAAGTCAAGACTCCTGATAAAAGAGGTTTTCACAGGGTGATTATCATCTGTTGATGCCAGTGGAGTGGTGCGGTGTTGAACTGAAACAGTGGCACATGAGGAAATAGCTAATGAGCCAATCTGATATTTCCTGAAACATACAAGAGCTCGGAGAAAACCCACACTGAATTAGTCAGCGAGAACAGAAGAAATAGCGAAAGAATGTAAAAAAAAAAAAAGGAAGGAAGTCTCAAAGAAGATGCAAGGAAAGAAAAAAGATTGTGTTTGGCAATTGTATGACTGTATAGTGATTTAATGCAGAAAACTGGTTTTAGTCTTTATGCGAAGACCCAAGAGAGAGAGGAAGTTGTTTCTTTGGTACTATAGGGTTTCTTCTGAAAGTGGAGGGTTGAGCGTGATTGCACGGGAAGCCCTGGTCATTGACTGTGATTTCCTGCTCTGGCTACTGTTCTCCAAAGTCTCCCCTAAAGCGTCACATGGCACCAGTTACAGCTACAGTGCCATTTAAATGAGGATTGTGCTGACATCTTAAGGAGAGCTGTTCTGGAGGGCTTTTTAGACACTAAAACTGTTGGTATGAAGGCATTCAATATAGTGCAATCATAACATTAGTCTAAGGATCTGAAATATTTGTAGCCAATTTAGGCTGAACTAAATACTGGATACACTTTGTTACCTCTCTTTGAATGTGGTTCCCAGTTATTCCCTAGTTGGCCTGCTGTGCCTGTGTTTAGTCTAGCCCTTTCATTTCAAAGGCGTTCAGCTGTTTATTGCATAATTTCCCTGCTTACGTGTTAAATAATAGTTCCTTTATCAAACCACTACTGCTTGACCTCACACCAATCCCAGACTATCTGTGTGGTCTTGAAGTTCCCACAGCGGGCCTGTGATGGCTGGCTGTACAACAGGAACACCACTAGACTGATTACCTCTATCTGTGCTCTGCTGCCTTATCCGGTTAGAAAGAGCTGATGCGAGACTTGATTTCTTTGTTGGATGCCCTGACAATGCCATGATTTCATTGCAATGCTAAATTCAGCTCTAGCATAACAGGTTTTTTCAGAGTTCAGAATTTGCTGAAAAACATGATTATACCAAAAGACAAATATAACAGTTCTCACTTTTTTTGGGGCATATTTTTGTTCCTCAGATCCTGAGCAACCATTTGTGGACCCTCATCCCTTAAGACCTATTATCTTAGAAAGCTACAGGCACGAGACCAGCCTCATACTCCCCTGCAGGACCACCTATCCCGATATTGAAGTAACACTCACAGGGGTAAGGCTTCACAAAGACATTCATTTCACAGCTTCTGCTCATGACTGCTGCAGGTTAAGTTGTTTTACTGTGCTGTATGTATTCAAACACTCTCTATGTGTTCCTTAGACCTTGTTGGACTTTGTAGTAAATCGCACAGTACATCATCTGACAAAGCAAAATTGCTATAAATACCACAGCAAGGTATCCTTGCTTCTTATCCTTGGAAAACAAATGTGTTCCCACTCTGTGCTTAAGGCGTCTCATAGGTTCTCACACCCTGTGTGTGTTAAATCACTCTTGCACACAGAAACAGACAAGGGACAGTGGCTTGTCTGAGGAAAGCTCAAGGGCGGCGAAAGGAGTCTATCGGTCTGCTTCCTTTAAAAGCAGGAAGGTGCTCCAAGAGTGCTTTTCTCAGAATAGACCCTTAGACTAAATTTAGTCCTCAGGAAATGCAGTAGAATAGCAGTAAACACGGTGTCAAGCACAGGAGACAACAGGTAACTCATCATGAGGATGGCAACCCTTAATACCAGAGAGAATTGAAGGGTGCTTCCTCAGTGATGTTGTTGGCTCAATGCTTATCATCTTTCTGTCAAACTTAAAGGAATACTCTTCCCACAAAAGGACATTTCTACCTTATGTTGCCTAGTATCATTGAGGGGATATCTTACATGTCTCCTAGGTGAATCAACAATCCAAAAACGGAAAGCCAATTGAAGTAATTGTTCATCCAAGGCTGACTGATTATTTATATACAATAATGGGACATAGTGCCTGCCCTACCATAGACAAACACATCTGACTCAGATGGCACAGATAGTGATGGCACGACCTTCCTGCTTTTGGTAAATCTATGGCACTCGTCCTTCCAGCTCCCTTTCCTTCCTTCCTTCCCTTCCCTTGCCTCCTCTCTCAGCCCAATATCTGGCATGAGAACAAACAGCAGCAGGCACGCACATCCTTTATCCGGGTCCACGATGTTTGTGTTCCATTGCATAAGTGATTGCAGAGGTTCCACTCCACAACGCAATAAAACCTAATTAGACCTTCCCTCTAACAGACTTCTGTCCCCAGCTGAGTCAAGTAGAGCATGAGCCACATTTTAAATTAAGTGCATTACACTAACAGTCCGTATGGCTCAGTGATTTGTAATGAATATAACAAGTGTCAAAAAATAACATATGACAAACCTCCTCTGCTCTACTCTCTGGAAAGCAGCTCGTGGCTTTACCAGAGAAGGTAGTTAAGGAACAAATATGGGATCCGAAGGTTGGATTCAAGATTCCCTACGATCCCTACAGAGAGATCAGCATGGTCTTCTGTAAAACCAAGGTCAATGGTCGTGACTTTGAGTCAAAATACTTCCCTATGAGAATAAGTGAGTCTGTTGTCTTGCTAAATGAAAAACAATACAGATTTCTCTTTATTTCTGTTTCTTGGGGATTTATTCTTATATTTGCCTCGATTTTGCAGCTCATGCCCTTCAAAATGTGAAGATCACCCCAGAGCGTGTCAAACTGTTGGTTGGAGACACCCTCATTCTCAACTGTACTGGCAAGACCACTCATAATGGAAGAATCAAATTCACGTGGGATTTCCCAAAGAGTAAAGTAAGTTCAGGATTTACCTTTGACACATTCCTATTGTATGTAAAAGGAACCCTCGCAGGTTGTAGCAGTAACGTTTATGATGCCTTCTTTATCTTCAGGAAAATAGACATGAAACACAATGGACCATGGACCGGTCTACCAAGGTGTATGTGATGAGCAGGTCTTTATTCTTGCCAAACATTACCATGGAGGATAAAGGAGTGTACCACTGCAGGGCTGAGATCAACCCTACGATTTATATGAATGTCACCGCTAAAGTCATCGTCATTGGTAAGTGTGCTTTAAATGGATTTGAAGACTTCCAGAAACGTTAAAGTTTCACAATTTACACATTCAATGATTGTCACTGTGTTGATTCTAAAACAATACCAAATATTTCTGCTTTTGGATCGCTTCCAATGTCTTTCCTTAATGTTTTGTTCCAGAGCATCCATACCTCAATATCTCCTATAAACATGAGCGGCACAGTACGATAAGGGTCAAAGAAGGCAGGAAGAAGCTTGTGTTTGATCCCAAGGTCCAAGCTCTGCCACCGCCAGACATGGCAGCATGGTAAGTAATGGTTTGCAGTCAGAATAAAAACTGCTGCTTGTGTATTGAATCCATGTGATGATTTGATATGCGGTGGCCCACCCTGAATGATAGCATCACAAGGTTTCCATGGTCATGAAAAACCTGGATGAGTCATAGATTTTCAAAATCTTTAAAAAGGACTTATGAAATAATGAAATCTTGGAAATCCGTGATGGTTGTAATGACATTAATTGGGACTGTTATGTTCTGTAGATAACCTTCAACATTTCGTAACATAACTTTAATTGTATTTCTATTGTTTTATATAATGAGGTGTATATAATCATTAAGAATACAATAATAGTACATTGCTTTGATTTCCCCTCATGCTTGAAAGTCAGTGCCAGACTCAGATAAAAAAAACGTATAGTACTATTAAAGATTAAACACGATTGCTGTTTAATAACCATAAACTAATTAACATTCAAATTAAAGTTAAGGTTCTGAATGGTGATGGTGTTTTTATTATGGGTCATGGAGAAGGCTCATGACTCCCTTTCCATTCCCTTTTTTCCAGTGATGATTATTCTTCCATGGTTGACTTAAAACTTTTCATGCATTCAAATTCTTAGGTTTAAGGATGGGGTCCCTATCAACAGGAGTTCCACCTGTTACAAGATGTCTGGCTTCACCTTGATCATCGTTAATGTGCAGCAGCAGAATGCCGGGGTCTTCACTGTCAGTCTGGGCAACCAAGCGAGGGGCTTGCACAGGAATCTGAGCTTCACACTGATAGTGGAGGGTAAGCTGTTGCTATAAACTTGATAATGACGACTGATCCTAAAGGAAAATGAAGCAGTGGCTCTGCACTGGCTGCTTTCAGTGCAGTTCACTAGACGGCAGGTAGCAGCTCTAGTATGAGAGGAATTTGGGGGCTTGTTGATTCCAGAGCTGGATTGACGTAGCAAGGGCAGCTGTTGTTGATTATTGGGGCTCTTTTGAAGGGGCTTGGCGCAGTGTGTAAATGGCCCGGGCTCTACTCTGCACTCAGACTCCAGCCGCTCCAGACCCCCCTTAGTCCCCAGCATTTATTTGCATCCTCACCATGTGTATATACAGTGCAGCTCATATCAACACCATGTTCCATACTGTATGTGTACAGCTTGAGGAAAACAAAGACTGAGCATGTCACTCTGTGTTTTGATGATTTTGTAAAGACTAATGATAACTGTTAACACTGGAGGTTATAAATGTTTTAACATGTTAGGTGGACGTCTGCTTGCTAGAGAGTGTGTACATTTCTTCAAGCTTACCATCGGGGGGCAGAGCTATTTTTATTGCATTCTTTAAACATTTTTTAGGAATCCCGATAGCGTGCCAAAAAGTGTAAAACTCAGCCCCCTCTGGCTTGTTTAACTTTATTTATGGCCCTTGACTGTCCCGCTCAACAAGACTAATTTATTGGAACAACAAAAAATGAAACACACAGAAACAAACAAAGTGAAGAGAGAGTCATGGTTTCAATTATGGAAATACTTAGGACTTTTTCATCATATGTTTAGAACTGTAGCATTGTTCCAGATTTTGTGTGTGTGTGTGTGTGTGTGTGTGTGTGTGTGTGTGTGTGTGTGTGTGTGTGTGTGTGTGTGTGTGTGTGTGTGTGTGTGTGTGTGTGTGTGTGTGTGTGTGTGTGTTTTGGTTTTGTGAGTTGCCAAACTATGTCAAAGTGTGTAGTCAGCAGTGATGGAGGAAGTATTCACATCCATCACTTAACTAAAAGTGTTTACATCACACAGTATGTAAGTATAACCAGGAAAATGTATTGAAGTAATACGCTCTCAATGGAAAAAAATACCTAACCCTAAGTAAATAAAGCTGTAAGATACATTTTAAGGAGTAACAGTACAAAGGTTCCCTATGAAATGTGTTGGAATAGAAGTAGATGTTGACAAGGAAAGGAAAGACAAGTACCCCAAAATTGTCCTAAAGTAAAATACTGGATTAAATGTATTTAGCAACATTCGTCCACTGGTAGCCTGAGTATCCTCCTGAGGTGGCACAAGGATCTTTGTCTGTTTGTTGAAGGTGCGTTCACTGACCTGGGCATGGGCCACAGGGAGGTCGTTATTTGACCTTCAGCCTTGGCCTATCCAGTCATCCTGCCATTCTTCTCCTACACAGCATCTAAAGGACAACTGGTGTCAATGGCAACTTCATGGCTATCCATCATGACTGACGGCCCCCATTATAAAGACATTATGAGATTCCACAGTGGCATGGGATAGAAGGGTTGATCTACCTTGTTGTTACCTTAACTTTCTCTCTCTATCTCATGAGTTGTTGTGTGTCTGTGTACTTATTTGTGTTTATGTGTGCTCCTCTCTTACAGTGAAGCCAATTATTTCCGAGGCCGAGCTTGCCACTGTGGACGTGCAGCCGTACATGATCGGCAGACAGCACCAGTTAACCTGCACTGCTTACGGGGTGCCGCTGCCAAACACCACATGGTTTTGGCAACCGTGTCAACTAAACACCACGCTTATAAAGTGAGTCACTATCTCGCTTTGTTCCAAGCTTTGAAGTGTTTAAAGTTGATTTTCTGTTAACTTCCTCCAATCTTGAAAAAATGTATAGCATATGAAAGGGGAAGTCTTCCTGTTTTGAAGCGCACATTTAATCAGTTATGAATGCCAAACATAATCTGATTCAAAATCAATTGCATGCTTCCTTCTACTTTAAAGCAGTCCTAGCAGAATATATATGCATTTAAATAAAAAGGATAAATTGGCATGCAGAGGAATCGGATGTGTTTGACGTTTATGTTCAGTTCACAGTGTCTCTGGATGTGAGACTTTGAGAGCATTGTGAATTTAAAGTGGCAGTGCAGTAAGGAATGTATCTTCGTCAACAGATCTCTTATACCGTTTGTAGGTTCTTTATCTGTTATTTGTCAATCTAGTATATATAGTATAAATACTGAGTCATGTTAAGCACAGCATTTGCTCAAATTGCAAAGCCGTGTTGGAGGAAATAATCATAGGTACATTAGCTAATGGAGTTGTATTCACAAACTCACAGACTAACAGCATAACAGACTTAACAGAAAGTTATCGAAGCGTCCAGAGCCACCGGCCCAGCCCGGGGAACCCACTCTGAACAGATCTGCATTGACTGGATTGTCTCTGGCCCGGAAAATGACACATTAATCAAAGAAACGCAGCCCTCGAGAGCTGCCCTCTGGTTTGTGGTCAGTGGTTCTGTAGGTTGAAGGGGAAACTCGGGGAGATAAATTAATCTCAGGTCCCAGAGCTGTTTCACAGCTCAACAGAACTGAGTGTATGAGTGACTGCACGAATCCCGGCCTGGTAGTGAACCCACAAACAAGAAGAACATTCCCTGAGATCCGGGCTCGTTGATGACACAGGAGACCTGCGAGGCGTAAGATCAGGAAAACAATGGGCCATTACCCTTGGGTTATCAGGCCTCAACACCATTAACAAAAACAACACTTTGAACCGCTGCACAAGAAAAATCCGAAGTCACGTTACACACCCGATGGTGTTAAGCCACCAGTGCCTCCATTATTTTATCTATCAAATTATCCCCAAATCCACTTGAATTCGCCAGATTACTGACTAGAATGTGACTCGAGAGCACAGACCACTGCCAAGTTCAATAGTGCATTCATTTGCTACAAAGAACATTTTATGTTTTTCATTTCTCAGAACATTCAAAAAAATCCTTTGATAGCTGTTTCCAAACTGTGTTCCATCTTGAGGGGACTGTGAATTATCCCAGCGAACCCTTTTTACTGATTACCCCGACATCACATGAATGCAGCACAAAGGTGAAAGTGAAACATAATTCCTCTATCCACCCTGTAATTCATATCCGCTCCAAAATGTAATTGGTTCTTCCTTCGCCCATACTACACCCTTCCACCAATTTATTGAAGATCTTGCCAGTCGTTTTTCCGTAATCCTGCCGACACACAGACAAACCAAGCCGAAAACATAACCTCGTTGGTGAAGATAACAATAGCAGAGCGTTAGTTGGGTCAAAGCTACTCTTTCTGCAGGCCTAAAGATAATCAGGACTGGCACTAGGAACAGTGGCAGGCAGCTAATGAGACAAAGGAACAGCTATCGCCTAGTGGGAGGCCAATTGTGCAAAATGTTTGTTTTATGCAGCCCTGACCCTGTAAAGTACCTGTCACTGTAAATCCAGCGTGTAGCCCTTCAAGATCATATCTCATCTAAATCTTTGGGAGTTTGGAGAAGAGAGAAAACTCGTAGTGTGGGCAGGGTTAAGAGATGAAGGAAGCTTCCTATTTTGGATTTGGAATGGGGCTGATAGTGTAGTGTAGAAATATGGGGGTGTCTTTATCACCAGGTTGAGGAGCTGTGCCTTGTTGATCGCCAAGGTCTTAGGATCAACCTTATCTCCTCTGGCCAGAACGTGTGGGGGGGGGGGTTTCCTGTACGAGTTGACGCATAGAACAGCCCTTCCTGTCGCTGTTGCTGTTTCCTCCTCTGCTTCTCCTCTCATCAGGATGATTGTTCCCCACCACGGGCGGTGAGGGTTTTGGGGGTGGGGGTCAAATCAATGCTTTCTGTTGGTTTTATAACCCAGACATGCTGGTCTAGACCTGGACTCTTCTCATATGTGTCTCAGTGGTGTTTTAAAACACATCAGCCTTTCAGAGTGGCTGCTTTTTCAAAAGGACAGCAAGTTGTATCCTTATAGGTTGATCTAAACAGCATTACACCAAGGTTCCCAATTCAGAAAATCTGTTGTTTTTATTCTGTTGTATTGCTAAGTTCCAACACATGTGCATCTGTCTCTACAGATACTGACAGCGTGACTACATGATCTCATTAAATACTTTATGTTCCTCAGATCCCCGGTCCACACTGATGACAGGGGGAATTACTCCCACAACTGGATTAAGAGCATAAACGTCAAGCGTGAACTGGTAAAAGGAAAAATCAAGGTATGTGGTTTAGCTTTATCTGTAGTGTTTTCACTTATTTTGAACAACTGTTGCACTTGTAGCATACTTTGTTTCCTGTTAAATGTGGTTGATAAATTGTAATGACCAACTTCACAGTACGATTTATGGATCATAAATATGCCTTACATTTTGAGAATATTTAATAGTTCAGATTCAAGTGGAAACCTTCTGTTATTGGGACTTGAAAGTAGGGCTGCTCGATTATGGCAAAAATCATAATCTCGATTATTTGGGTCAATAATTGATATCAAGATTATTAAAAACGATTATCCATTTACTTTGAAAACATCAATTTATTCTAGAATTTCTTTTTGAACAGTATGTTTTTAACAGTTGATTACCCTGAACTTTAAGTATAATTCAACTGAAAAACCAAAAAAAAAAAGTTATAATAATAATTAAAAAATAATCGTTTTATGGGGATTACGTTGTTTTCGTAATCGTTGCAAGCCATAATCGTAATTGCGATTAAAGTACGATTAACTAAGCAGCCCTACTTGAAAGTCAGAATCCCACTATTGGCAGTAATTCTTTGCATCTCTTGCCTTCTTTTTGTTGCCCACATTAGTTTGAACTTGGACCAAACCTCATTAAAAAGCCCCTAGCACTCTCTTACGAAAAAATCCAACTTGTTTTTCAGTGCTTTTCTCAATAAAGCTGGAATTATTATTAGAATAAGCAACCAGGAAAATAAGGGGTTCACACATGATGTGCTGCATCAGGAGAGGAAGACGCCATAATGATAAATACTCATCAGATTGCATCTAACAACTTGGTTAACTGCACTGGTATTTACAAAGGCCTTCCTATAACGAGCCAGATCTCTACCAGACTGGTCCTGTCATTTGAAATGTTGCACCCATAACTAAGAGACACAGTTCATTTCCCTCTACTGGAGGGAAACACACCCTCATTTTCACAGTTTCTTTAGATGAATAAGGCCTGTAAATGAAGCAGCTGCAGATTCAACCTGGGTCCTGCCAAATAAACATATTTTATTCTGACATCAGTTAATCTTTTGGCTGTCGAGACTCATGAAGCTAAGCCTTATAAACAGTAGAAAAGCTATATGGCTCAAGCCATGCGTGTGCCAAGAGCTGAGTACAGACTTTTATAGATTCTACCCTACACCATTACCTACGAACATGGCACTGTGCTTTTGTTAGTGAGCATATACTACTGTTATTTTACATCATGTAATTTGAGAGGCAACATTTGGAAACAATACATTTAAGCAGATAGAATAGTTTTTCACACATATTAATTTAAGCATATTTGATTGTTTTACACTGCAAAATATTGTTTTCCCCGACATCAACACTTAAGTATCATTAAGGGATCTATTAGTATGCCAGCTTTCCTTCGAAAACATCTTACACATGTTGCCATGCAAACCAAAACATGCCGCTCAATGTGGAAACTATATACATTGCTGCAAATATCCTGTGGGAGCCTGTTACTAAAACTGTTCTCCCCGAACATAATTAAGAGCAGGCCTACGCTGCCTTTGTGAGAGTTTGTCTATAGGATTAGGTAAAAGACACCCATTACAGCAAGCTGGGTCAAATTAGGGCACAGGTTCAACGGCATGAAGGTTTTCAGATGGAGAAAAGATAAGTGATCATTTTCAATTCTTAAATACTAGAGCATTTCTGAAAGGATTCAGAAACATGAGCACATGTATAGATATATATGCAATTAGATAGCAATATGTTCTTTTATTTTTCATATCTCGAATATATAAAATAACTACGGTAACTTCAAAATGCATAAAAAAGGAAGAAAACAGTAAGGTAATGATAGGTGGTGACCAACCGTTTCAAAATATGCCATAAAGGTGTATATTAATCTTTCTAAATCTAAATCTAAATCTTTGTATTGGATAATTGAATAAGCTCTGAAAGAAACTCACAATCATATCCATTATTGGTAACACTTTATTTTGATAGTCCATAGTTAACACTCTATAAGTCATCAGTTGACCTTTAGTAGCATGTCAACAGTGCATCAGTTGACATTCAACAGCACCGTTCAAACCGGCAAGTAACTAAGCATTAGTTGATGATCAACAGATAAGCAACTTTAGAGTTTAGTAGACTATCTGTTGATCGTCAACTAATCTAGAGTTGACTATTAGTATACTTTTAGTAGGTTCTCCACTAAGCGTTTGTAGGCATGTGTTAGGACTATCCAATTGAAGTGAAAAACATTTGAGAACAGTAGAAAGTCTATAACCTATCAACAGAACACATACATTCATCCACTAATGATATGCAACAGACAAAAGCTAAATGTTTTCCACAACTGATCACGAACACTGGATAACTGAAGTCAGTACCAGGCTATAAAGCACAGTAGAACAAACACTATACACAGCATATCAGAGAAAGAAAGCTTTTTTATTTTAATAATATACAACAAGTAAAAACTGAACAGTTGTGAACCACATTCAATCCTACTAAAGGACATCTAAACATAATTATTAACAGGTCGCCAAAAAACTTCCCCAAAGTAGCTTTCCAAAATGAAAAAACTCCCCCCCTACTACAACAACAACAACAACGCTCAACCCACATTCAGAATTAACTGACAGAAAAGGGGATGAGCTGTTGCTTTGTATAGTGTTTCTTCTACTGTGCTTTATAGCCTGGTATTGACTTCAGTTATCCAGTGTTCGTGATCAGTTGTGCAAAACATTTCGCTTTATTCCCATGTCTGTTGCATATCATTAGTGGATGAATGTATGTGTTCTGTTGATGGGTTATAGACTTTCTACTGTTCTCAACTGTTTTTCACTTTAATTAGATAGTCCTAACACATGCCCACAAACGCTTAATGGAGAACCTACTAAAAGTATACTAATAGTCAACTCTAGATTAGTTGACGATCAACAGATAGTTAACTTAGGGTGACCAGACGTCCCCGTTTTCCGGGGACAGTCCCCGTTTGTATTGGCCTGTCCCCGGTTGAAACTGTCCCCGGAAATGTCCCCGTTTTTAATATACGTTAAAAACACATAGCAAGGTGAAGTAAAACGTTTCATGTCAGGAAACACTGGGTAAACAGACTGTGGTCAAGCCAGCCCCCACTTAGGAAAACACAGTCAAGCCAGCCCGCACGTTGTAGTGCGGTGCGCAAATATCCTATGCATTACGGTAGAGGCCTGTAAAAACTGCCTTCAANAAAAAAGTTGGATCTCTCCAAAAGGATGTAAAAAGTACTTTTTTATATAGCTCCTCACATCCAAACCCTTACTACCGTTCAAATTTTGTAAAAACCCCTCTTAAAGTTCGTGACCGAGGTGAGACAAAAACTCTAGTTTCGTAGATCTGGTCTCAGGGACGTAGCCTAGCCCCATAGGCACCATGGGCTGCCACTGGGCGTTTTTTCCACTAAACACGCCCACCATAAAAAAGTTGCGAAAAAAGGCCAAGCCAAGACCTTTGTTTCTCACGCCAGCCCAACGCCCACAACGGATTATTTATATAAAGTAATATTTTAATCAATACAATTTAGGAGTCTTGAGAGGGGGCGCCCTGGCTGTATTAGTATTGAGACGTCGCGTGATAGACGCAACTCGCGCGGGTGTAAACTTACCGACGACTCCACTTCGAGGATCGCCTCTTATGTCGTAAAAAGTATTGAGAAGAGTTTCTCGCTTTAGCGTTAGTATTTGTAAATATTAAACAAAATGCCTCTTGAGGGCATGAAGAGACAAAAAGTCCACCTTGCTCCCAATTGATTCCCATGTTAAATTGTTCCGGATCTTTCTTCATAACAGAGAGGAGTACAATTTAGACAAACTGTTCCCATCTCCACATTTTACGCACAAAACCCCAAAAAAACAAACATGTATCAGTTCATTGGGGTTCCCTGATGCTCACGGTCTGGTAATTTTTTGATAGAAGCCATAGTTTTTGAACAGGTGGCAACATTGTCAGATATAATCCCCAATGCATTCTTATGGGACTCAGTGCTGCAGTTGGTTGTCATGGTGTTGCTGGGCAGATTGGAGCCACACACACGTGAGTCATAATCCAATCAGAGCAGACACCATGGAAAACTTTGATCTCTGGGTTTACACACACAGGTGTTTGTAAACATTCAATCACTACTACTTACATTTAATATCTTTATTTAACTCTTTCAGCCTAATTTCAGCTGCAGGAACCATTCAAATATCAAACTATTCAGCCTTTTCAACACATGATGGGAAACTTTCAACTTTTTCAAAATATGTTATACTTTTTAAAATATTCAGCTTTTTAAAGTATTTTTTTAACATGGAAGTTATTGCAATGCTTTTGAGCTGTAACACTTAACACAACACACACAACACACAACACACACACACAACACACACACACACACACACACACACACACACACACACACACACACACACACACACACACACACACACACACACACACTCTCTCACACACACACACAGACAGACAGACACACACACACAAACACACTCTCTCTCTCTCTCTCTCACACACACACACACACACACACACACACACTCTCTCTCTCTCTCTCTCTCTCTCTCTCTCTCTCACACACTCTCTCTCTCACACACACACACTCTCTCTCTCTCTCTCACACACACACACACACACACACACACACACACACACACACACACTCTCTCACACACAGACCAACAGACAGACAGACACACACACACAAACACACTCTCTCTCTCTCTCTCTCACACACACACACACACACACACACACACTCTCTCTCTCTCTCTCTCTCTCTCTCTCTCTCTCACACACTCTCTCTCTCACACAGACACACTCCCTCTCTCTCACACACAGACACACTCTCTCTCTCATACACACACATACACATACACACACACACTCTCTCACACAGAAACACACCGATGATGATGAATGATCAAGAGAAGAGAGAGAGGGCGATCAAGAGAAGAGAGAGAGAAGAGAGAGAAGAGAGAGAGTAATGTAACCTCCTAATGTAATGTATAACTCCTATGAAAATGTTCAAAAAGTGCTCAAACTTCACATGTGTGCTAACAGTCCAGCCGTGAAGACATCTACGGGAAAGTTTTGAGATTTCTTCAAATGCCGTTACCATGGCAACACAATGCTCACCATGAAACACGGTTTTCTCTTAACTTAAGTGAAAATGCTCGAAATGGCCCAAAACTTCACAGGTTTGGTAACGATGCAGCCATCAACACATCTAAGCGTATTATGGGATGTCATCAAATGCCATTGGCATTGCGACAGATCATTCACCATCAAGTTAGTTCAAAAGTTTGCAGTTCAAATATTCTGCTGCTTTTCCAAGCCTTTTTACTTTATTTTCTTCTCTCATCATCACACATTCAAGCCCCCAGTGTTCATGTATAATTTCAATCAAAATGTTTCACTTTCTTCTTACACATTACATTTCAGCATAGCAATTTAGCGTCAGCTTTCCAGCATAAAGCATTCCCACTAGCAATTTCTTCAGGAATTGCATTCTCTAGTTAAAACTAGCTGCACCTTTACCAGTTTTGATAACACTTTAATGCGTCGTATCACATATAATTAATCCAAATCTGTTTAGAAACTAAAGGTATACAATACATGTAGTGGAGTTGAGTTCATTAACCTCTAAATTGTAGTGGTCTAGAAGTTCAAAGTAGCAACACATTTAAATACTCAAGTAAAGTACAAGTATCTCAAAATTGTACTTAAGTAGAGTACCTGAGTAAATGTACGTAGCTACTTTACACCAATGAAAAAGGAGTATTTCTACTTTGGGGAAATTAGTCTTAGCCCAACACAAGTAAATATATCGTTTTTCTCAATAGTTGTTTAAGAAATTGTGAGTCAAGACTGCAAGTAACGTATAAATATATAATCTTTATTCATTTATTCATATGCTCAGATAACAGTGTTGGGAAGCATTACTTTCACAAAAACAACTTGTGAGACTACATGAACAAAACAGATAAAGCTAGGAGGTCTTCTTACTCATGGATATGTATAAAGAAATCCAATATAATCTATTGAATGTTATTGCGATAGTTAATAGAAAGAGGCTTGACATTTTAGGATGACATTAAATGCAAACATAATATAACAAATACTGCAAATGTTAATTTCCTACTAGAGTTTAGAGTTAAATAAAAACAAAATAAATCGGAAATCTTTGTAACGTGACCCTCAATACTGTTTCATAATAATATACTTTAAGAATACAAAAATTATACTTGATATAAAGTATCAGTGCATAATTACTTCCTCTCCATATAGACAAACTAATTATAATTTTGAAGTACACAGGAGTTCAAAATATCCAATTTATACTTCAGTTTACTTACTGGCAAATACAGTTTATTTTGTGGTCAACAAGCACAAGCTAGCCACATTTCTACAGGGTGTGTAAGCTAAGTTTGGTCCACAGTACTTTCAACACATCGGGTAATACAAACAAAACACTCGATTTTACATGATAACAAACAATAGCTGTGAATCCGAGCAAACTGGTGCTCAATTCAAATACATGTAGAGTTTGTTTAGCCTGCCCTGCAAGCTTTACTAACACGTAGCACAAAACAAAGGACGGATCAAATACACTTACATGTTTCCCTTAGCTTTACTTTAAGTGAATACAGCAGCACAAACAACATATACATCTGGAGTGAAGTGTTGGGATATTACATGTTGATATGAGGAAGACTGGGCTTAAAAGATCCTTTGGTTGACTCTTGAATTATAAATCTAAATAAAGAAACAGAACTAAATAACTAAGTGACAGTGTACATAATCTAAATAAATACATTTTACCATCAACACTTGTTCTAATATTGCATTTTCTAACTCAATCTGTACACAAGCTAAATAAACAAATCTAATTTTCTTCACTTTCTTTTAGTTCGACCAAACAGTAACAACCTTTTTTAGTTTCTTCAGCACCTGATAGGGGCAGGAGGATGAATCTGCATTTACAGTAACTCTTGATTTAAGTGATTTCATGGTCAAGCTGTTATGCTAATCCTGAAGCCGTCTGCTTTTACTCTCAGCTCTACCCTGTTTCCTCCCTTTACCTCTGCTAACTTGTGATTTCCCAAAACCAAGAGCTTATAAACATGAAATAGTCACTATTGGCCATCCTGAGTTAGTTGAGCTGATTTTAATTGGATTTAAGGAGCAACGACACCAAAAACACAATCCTTTTCACAATTAATAATACAAGTTAAGACTGATTTTGCTTTGAGCAAGTCTGAACTTTTTTTAACCTTCATATGAGCAGATGTATCCACATCTTAAAAATATTTTCTCTTTAATCGTTATCAAAAATTACAAATCCAGTTTTCATTTTTGAATAAAATGGAAACAGATATAAAAAACTTCATAAACCTCAGCTATTCTCTCTGCTTTTCTTTTCTGGATTTGTTCCTAATCATCAAAGGTGGTAGTTGATGTGATCTGCAGTAAAGTGGGAGTGATTGTAGCTAGTTTTCACAGTAGATGAAAGAAATACCTGAGGCTGTTTCCAGCTGTTTGACATATCACAGTGAATGTGGAAGGGACCAGCAGCATTAATGTCAGCCTGTGTCTGAAAACTGGAATGAAATCAACAGTCTACAGGTTTCCTTTTGTTGCTCAGCAGGCGCCCTGAACGTTGGAAGTAACAGTCGAGTAGGTTCATGTTTCATTTCAGAACGACCTTTCAAAACACTTTACCGGGGAATCTCATGTGTTTTCCTCTCAAACTTTGCTACAGTCCAGAGATAAGAGTCAAAACAGAGGAGAACAAAGCAAATGCCTCGAGGCTGTTCATCAGATTCTTCAGGGACAGACCATGAGGCTACACAGGCGGGGTGGAGTAGCGCACCACATAGTTGTAGTCGGGCGGAGGGCTGTGACACTCCAGACCCACATCCAGGGCAGAGTCGTCCAGACCGAAGTCCAGAGAGGTGACCCCGCTCGGGAACTTCTCCTTCTCCGAGTCACACAGCACCGACTCTTTGCTCTTGCTCACTGCCTTCATCCTGGAAACACAGAGAGATGCGGCATTAATGAGACAGAAATATCTCTACGATAACAAATGCATCATGTTCAAGCAAATAAGGCATAAACACATGCTTGAAAACAACATACAAATACCAGATACAATGTCACTGGAATGACAGAAAGTGGAATCAGAGGGATGCTTCTCCTTATTTATTAACAACACAGCAAAACTAAAAATGTCTTGCCACTGATTTTGCACTTGGAGGCAGAAATGTGAAATAGAGGCCAAGTGTCTGAAAGGTTGTGTGTGTGTATGCCTTAATGCGACAATCAATGCTGGAACATGGTCTATGGGCTGGTTGGACAGAGCACAACATTTTCAGTTAATCTGTGGTAAATCCAAAAGTCATATGAAATTAGAAACAATAGATTTATTTGTTTTCTGAACAATAAACACTTGTAATTGCAAAAACACTTTAAAATACAACGACTACTCTTGTGTCCTCAGTACGGGTCACTAAATGCATTGATTTCATATATTGTTAGAGCATTATTCAAATAATTTGGTTGGCATAACTTCTGTGGAAACATTTGGCAATTGGGGTTGAAATTGTTGCAGAAAATGAGTGAACAACCAGTTGAGCACTTATTTTAAATATATATATATATATCAAGTTCTTTGTCACAGCAGAGGTCTGTTTTTTATATTCTTTGATTGAAGAATTTAAAGCTCTTTGTGAAGCTGTACAATCACACTACCCTCTCCTTATTCATATGATGTAATCAATCATCCTGAGTCCTTCTGCTTCATTTGATGCTCAGAATATGAGTAATTGCCTCTTATTGTCTTTGGAGGTTGCTAAGGGTTCCAGGGTTCCTCTCTCGAGGCCAAAGGGTCAGCGCCCAGCGGGGGTAAAGTGACGCTGTCATACTGGAATGCTGCCCTTATGAATAACTACCTGATGAACCAGCCATCAAAAAGAAAATTAACAATAGTACAGTTTGTCCTTGCCAGTACCAAGAAGAAGGTGGGGGGGATACTGGCAATTGAGCAACAGGAAACAAAAAGAGTCAGGGTGAATTTCCCCTTCTCTCTGAGCTGAAGCACATATTGTTGAAGTCTTCTATCATACAGGGATCGTAGAGCTGAAGAGTTACATTCAGTCACAAGCCCTTTCCAAATAACCATAGACTGTTTTGTTGTGTGCTCTTGTTTAAGAGAAGTCCGGCTCGAGGAGTGGTGAAGGCCAAGCGAGCAACAGGTGGACTTCAGCTTAACAAAAGGAGCGCTATAGCTAACAGGGGAGGCCCTCCTAAGTTCAAAGGTGGCAGTGATTGAGCGGTCGCCCAGCAAGGAAGTCCAAAATGTTGATCATTCTCTGCATGCCTGGCCTGATTCTTTCTGCCCTGATGATACAAACAGGCCTGTAATGAGGCTCGGTAGATTTTTTAAAAACACTTTGTGTGGTTGTTTGAAAAAGTGAGTTTGTTGAGCTGTAAATGAATAACACCGCTTCAGAGTGTCATTAACTCTGCTAAGTGCGCCTCATAAGTTACTTTCCTGGCAGTTGTTTACACACTCCTTCCTAATATTTTATAAGCACTTTAATGCTGTGCACTCTTTTCTCATAAACTAGCTTTATGACAATATACTTTACCGCAGTTTCACTTTTAAATCCTTTAAGTGTAAGCCACAATGCTTTGAAGTGGCATTACTTGTTGCTACTGTGCGAGGAGCAGAATAATACCACAAGGTTTAAAGTGTAATTACTGAGTTCAGAGGTTGGGCCTCTAAATTAACCCTGCCACTGAGCTGCTGTAAACTTCACGTGTAAGCCTTTAGTCACCTACAGAGACCCTCATTAGAAAAAGATTTACAGAAATTTGACTCAGATTTGACTTTATCCTCAAATAACCCATAAAGTAAAAACACACTCTCTCTCTTTCTCCTCCCTTCACGACAGTTTTATATACTTGCCCCTGCAGGATCCACATCTTAAAGTCATCAAACAATCTGCAGGATTTTGGAGTACAGTAGGTAAGCCTATGTCACTACTTTGACATTATGTGTGTTAGTTACGTAGCGTTGCTTTAAACCAAACAGCCATGACTCACAAGTAAAATCAGACTGGGAGGTATCTCATTCAGGAATCTCTTAGAGAAAACAAAAGGGGTTTTAGTGAGCGCTCTTAAAACAGCCAAACCTCATGTGACGCAGCCACTCTGCTTTGTGCTCAGTCCTTCACTTTGTCACCTTCAAGCTTTTCCCTCCTACTTCTCCTTTGTGTCGCTGCATGCTTTCTCCAGACAAAAGGGAAAACTAGCCGCTGACTTCTTTTTAAAGCAGCAGAAACGTGTGTGTGTGTGTGACAGTTATAGCGTCTGCATTCCAGCACAGCGGGGAGGTTTCCAAGCAGGTATTCTGCAGTCTCTTCTAGTGTGTTCTGATTTGTTGCTTGCAGGACATGTGGAGGGGGTGCAGTGTGGTGTAGTGTACGTACGCCAGAGCCATGATGCTCAGGGGTCGGCCTGCCAACAATTCGAGGCGCTTCAGAGTCTCCATGTTGTCTGACGACAGGCCCATCCCGCTGTCCGTCTGACCGCCCTGATGATGAAGATGCAGAGAGAGAGAGAGGGAGAATAATTAAGACCATAAATGTATTTGTCATCTTAAATATAGAAAGTCAACTATATTTTATAGAACCTTTTGGAAAAGTGCTTCACACAACATATAAAGGTATGAAATACATAGTCAAACATAGATATCAACATCATAAAACCAGGGATACGGAAGCCTATTCCATTTTTTTTCCGATTACTTTTATCTTTATTTGACACTTTTAGCTATCATGACGCCCGTTAAGGTCTTCGTGCAGAACAAGCACTTAAAGGATCAGAAATCAATACTGAAGCCAAACCACAGGGCGCTTTAAAAGCAATCGACAAAATCTTAATTTGAAACGTGTATGGAGTCAAAGTACTTCAGTCCCGTGCTAGTTTGAAGCCTTGCTGCTACATTTTGCAACAATTGCTGCATCAAAGACTTGCATGCAATATTTCTGATTTGTAGATAGCAAGATTAAACAACACTGATTGTCTTAATGTTAAACACGCTTGCCATATTATTGGTTCTGTTTTGTTTTGTCAGGGTTCTTGCGTTTAGCATTATGCACTGAGCTACAACTTCAACCCAGTGTTGCACAATTACTTTTTTTCACTATCAAGTTGCAAAAGCTTTGAAGCCATCCAGCTTGTTATGGCAGTGAGGCATCAGTGCAGGGAATCAAAATAAAATGTAATGTGAGGTATTGAATAATATGGTCAAATGCTGGCAGAAATGTAAAAGTTGAACTAATCAACTTTGAAACGTATACTTTAAGCACACTGTTTCAGATAGAATACATTACATGTCACTTGTTAGACGCTTTTATCCAAAGCGACTTACATACTCAATACTGTGGGCAATCCCCACAGGAGCAATTTGGGGTGAAGTGTTTTGCCCAGGGACAGAACGACATACTGACTGCAGTGGGACTCAAACTTGCCATCCTCTGATTCGAAGATCAGCGCATTAACCCACTGCGCCACACGCCTCCCTAAATGTGTCGTGAATCAAAAATATTGTTTTATTCTCTACTAAAGTTAATCAGAGTAAGTCAAGTAAAACATGACATTCATCTCGCAGGGTGAAGTTTCCAGCTAACTGTCAAATGTCTGGCATCTAACTAATTGCGTAGTTTAGGATAAGTTAAAGCGCAGATTGCGCGTCTGTTTCTGGTTGACGTCCAGAATGAATAACTCACCTCATGGTTTTCATTTGTCCCGTCCTCCATGGTGACCTCGTCGAAGGTTTTCACACTGGCAGGACGGACCTTGATGCTCCTGGCGAGAAAATATTTCCATGTTAAGTCTCCAAAGTACTCTGACATGTTCTCATTCTGCTTTAAGAATCCTTTGATTATATTGGAGCCAAGGAGAGGAAAAGATCAACATCAAAGCCACAAGAACTTAATCAACTAAATCAACAACGTGTAGCATCTATGACGTTGTACTCTGAAAACACGCCCTGTTTACTTTCAACACTCACAGGCTAAAAGGACTGCTTCATTTAGCTTTAAGGCTAACTGTCATTACTGCTTTTCAACACCTCCTCAATAAACACACTTGGAGGAGCTGTGAAAACCCAAGAGCTCAATACATCTTATTTTAAGTGGACATAAATCTAGAAGCTGGCTCTACGTCTTTTGGGGAAATTCCTCACAGGAGCCACAATAGTGAGAGCTCTCTGGCCATCAAGCTGCCGTGTGTACATTTCTTATCATGTTCCAGTCCGCTCTCATTGTTCTCAGGTCAGATCTTAATGTTCTCCCGGTAGAGCTTAGCTTGAGCGCGCCAGGAACAATAACTGTTGGGAATATTATTCACTGAAAAGTGGGAATATTATGTCGGCATTTCCTTTGCAAAACAGACCCAGCGCCTTTTACAATCTGAGCATAGGTGTACATGTCGTTATGATATAGAGATTTATTTCCTTTGAAAGTCTTAACAAATCCATAGGCAAGTGTAACACATTTGAACCAACACACACACAAAGCCTACAGTCGTGCTAATATTTCTGTGAGGCTGTGCTCAGGCACTGCAATGCTTTGAGCTAAATGCTAACTGTGGCATTTTAACATTATTACAGTGACAATGCTAAGGTGTCTTATCTTAGTTTAGCCTGTTAGCAAGCAAACCTGTTCTAATTAGATCTAACCCCAAAGTGCAGCTGAGGCTGATGGGAATGATAGCAGTTTTGCAGGTATTAGGTCTTTAAAAAATAATTGGAGATTGAGATATTTGACTCAAAACTAAAAATGTAAATCGGCTGCTGGCTCTAAAAAAAAGTCAGGACATCACCACCACAATAAGTAGGATTTAAACACAGGGGGACGTGAATGTCTGAACACATTTTCATGGCACACCCTGCAGTAGTGAGAAACAAAGTGGTGGACTGAGCACTATGAACAAATTGATGGAATAACAACATCTGGTCAAGTACAGGAGTCTGATTTATGTAAACTAGCCAGCTAATAAGAGCCCCATGTGCTCACCAGGTGCTCCCCGAGTCTCGGAGGGAGATGGGTCGTGTGGTCGTCTCCTCTGACACCGCTGTGGAGGAGGGGTCTCCCAGCTTCCCCAGCAGGACTGTGTTGATGGGTATGTAGTGCTTGCCCTCCTAAATCAACCAAACAGAGACAGAATATATAAGAGGGCAGCCTTATGCTTCAATGATGCTAAGTATAACGAGGCAAGAGGCTTGGGGGCCGGTGCTGTGTGCAGGCTATACAAACACACACATGCACAGGTCGTGGCGAGCAGCCAAAGAAACTGAGGTCATGCCTCATAAATCCAACACAATGTTCATGAAGTCGGTGGAGACGGCAAAGTCCGTGACCAGCCTTCCTGCACTGTAACAATACCTTTATTAATAAGATTCAAACCCTTGCATTGCTCTCTCTGTCCCGACTGAACGTTTTCTCACAAGGGAAGCGTTCACGGGCTCATTAGTAGAGCGGCGTGTGTGTATATCTCTGCTGTAATGTGCCATCTGGACGAGAAGCCTGTTCTCCTTAGTGGCAAACATGACTGTGTGCATCTTGTGAACATAAAACTAATCTCAATGTTGTTCGGGCTCTGGCCAGTTCCCTGTCGTCAGTCCGTGCTCAACTTTCTTTAGTTTTCATCCATCTTTTGAATTATTATTTTTTATCATTTTGTTTAAAATGTCAGTTGCTCATTGGGTAACGCTGTAAATCATCCTGTTTGTGCTTTAGGAAGATGATGCTGAGGGATTCAAATACATATTTCATATTAATTTGAGATGAGAATCGATGTGAAGCTCTTCAATGGTTCGCATGATCCGGAAGAGACCAACCAAATCTATATTATATCGTTTTTGCTCCATAAATTACATTACATGTTACTTGCTAGACGCTTTTATCTAAAGTGGCTAACATACACAATACTGTGGACAATCCCCACAGGAGCAATTTGGGGTGAAGTCAGTGTCTTGCCCAGGGACACAACGACATGCAGTGGGACTCGAACTTGCTATCCTCTGATTCGAAGATCAGCGCACTAACCCACTGCGCCACACGCCTCCCCATAAATATATGTATAATCAATCAAATCAATTGCTGAATTGATTGCTTGATTCCATCTATTGCAGCTTCTTCCTGGTGTTGATTTGTAACACTTTTGTCTACTTTGACAAGTCAAACTGTAAAAAAAGCATATTGGTACAACGTGTCATACCCTACAGTATAATATGTTTGCATAATAATACAGATGTTCCTCTAGTTCATATTTGTTTCTAAGCCTTATTAAAGCTAAATAACCTCCAACAGTTGGTGACATTTCACACCATTCATAGCAGACAATGTCATCTTGCGTCACACTAATAATAACAATGTTTTTCCATGTGTTTTGAAGTGCAGTTCCCCTTACAAGACCAATGTTTCCATTTCAAAGGGTTTCAAGTGTTTGTGTTGAGTGTGACTTCCCCTCTCAGTGACTCTGAGCCCCCCCCCCCCCAGGGCGAGACGCCGCTTTGGATCTCCTTTAGGCTGCAGACTATGATCAGCAACACTGCTTCCTGGATATTCACAGCGTTTGTGACTCATAAAGCATAACTAGTGACTAACACCCCCATTTTGGCTTCGCTCCACTGGCTGCCAATACATTTTAGGATTCATTTCAAAATCCTTTTATTTGCTTTTAAATCCCTAAATGGCATGACCTCACCATATCTTTCTGAGGTGCTACACCCTTACACGCCCTCTCAGGTCAGGTCAGATCAACTGCCCCAGAACCAAGTCAAAGCGGAGAGGGGGCCGTTGCTTCTCTGTAGCGGCTCCAACACTGTGGAACGATCTTTCCCTGCATATCAGACAGGCCTCCACACTGTGGAACGATCTGCCCCTGCATATCAGACAGGCTCCCACACTGTGGAACGATCTTTCCCTGCATATCAGACAGGCCTCCACACTGTGGAACGATCTGCCCCTGCACATCACACAGGCCTCCACACTGTGGAACGATCTGCCCCTGCACATCAGACAGGCCTCCCACACTGTGGAACGATCTGCCCCTGCACATCAGACAGGCCTCCCACACTGTGGAACGATCTGCCCCTGCACATCAGACAGGCCTCCACATTGTGGAACGATCTGCCCCTGCACATCAGACAGGCTCCCACACTGTGGAACGATCTGCCGCTGCATATCAGACAGGCCTCCACACTGTGGAACGATCTGCCCCTGCATATCAGACAGGCCTCCACACTGTGGAACGATCTGCCGCTGCATATCAGACAGGCTCCCACACTGTGGAACGATCTGCCCCTGCACATCAGACAGGCCGCCACCCTGCTTGCTTTTAAATCGCTTCTTAAAACCCAGCTCTTCTCCTTAGCGTATTAACCTCTTTTAGAGCGTTGCTTTTATTGCTTTTAAATTGTTTATTGTTTTTACTTGTATTTGTTTTATGGTGTGTGAGCTGAGCTGTGTTATTTTTTGTATGTTTTGTTTATTTGACTGTACAGCACTTTGGTCTGGAGGTTTAAAGTGCTCTATAAATAAAGCTGTATTTTATTGTAATATTGTCCTTTGGCAAATAATTCCATCATGACTGATTGTAATTCAATGGTACTTGAGGGTAGTTTTCTGGAAGAGGCGTGAAAACCTCTCTGGCCTTAGCCCCTCCCATTTGATGAGCATTAGTGGGCAAGTCATTTATTTAAAAAAATGATCCCGACTATAACTGTGATGCAGTCCAGAGTTTTAACGATGAGAATGACTGTCCTGTTATCTTTTCAAACTAATGGGCCTATCAGTGACTTCTCCTCACCCGCAGCTGTGAGCATTTAGCTCTGATAACCAAAATGGTAAACTATTCAAATCCACTCAGATTTTCTGGAATGCTTTGCTGATAATGTCCATCCTTACCTTTTTGGGTTGCTTTGCAGAGTTTACTTTTTTGCTAATGTTCGGATAGAAAAATCTCCTGTATATTCAAAAATATCAGGCTTCCATCACCTAAAGAGTTGTGCACATGAAAAATGACCTGTAGCAGGCAACATTTGTTTTACTTTAACATTTTGTTGGGGGAGCATTTTTCCCTTTAATTGGAGAAAGACAGGAAATGCCCTATACCCCTCTGCTAGGGTTGCCAACATGCTAGATTTTCTAAAGTCTGAAAACAGAGCCAGGGGGAGAAGAAGTTGACTTTTAGACCACTTGAATTACAATATGTTTGAAGTATGAGGTATGTTTGGATTTAAACTTGATTTTTTGTTTATTTTATTTGTTATTTCCTGAGAAAACACTTCCGTACAAGTGTATATGACCTCTACTGTAAATGTAAGTTCACACCAGAGCCAAACAGATGCTGAGCATAAACTCTTCACTCTTGCTACAGTGGAAACAAGCCATTGACACATCACATGTAGTGTTCAAACAGTAAACACTATCTTGTCTTCCGTACCTGTTGCACGCTGGCCTGCAGCAGATCTCCCAGCTGCTCCACCAGCTCAGTGAAGTTCGGTCTCTCCTGTGGCTCTCCCTGCCAGCAGTCCAACATGGTCTGATATCTAAGGGCAAAGAATAAATCACTCAGCAAAAACTCTAGATAGACTCGTGAAGCCTGCAGCGTAATGGATGGACATGCTTAGTGCCAAGAACAACATTCAGTATATTTGGGTTGATGCATTATATAAACTGTGAAAATGCCGGATTGGTAGTCCAATAAACAAAGCTCTCGGCATTGAGGGACCACATCTGGCGCACCTCTAAATCGACTGTCATCTAGAATATTCCTACATATCCTGCCTTCTATTCTCTGGTGGTTTGATTCTCTCTCGGTCTCGGGTGTGAGAGCACACGGCCTCGCTCGGGTCTCTGACAGGCTGTCAGCGTCTCTGCCCATGTGGGAAGACTCTGAGCCTTAATGTGAGTTTCCATCGCAGTGGCTTGTTTCGTTTTGTGGAGGAATTTAGAAACAGAGCACCACGGCTGCTGTTTAAATTAGACTCATAGCATGTCACTGATTGGGATTGATGGGGGGATATATCTCTTGTTTCAGTTGCAGCACCCAGGTTTTCCCCTGCAGATATCTTAGGTTTTAAGTAAATATATCTATTATGATTCCGTTATGGCATCGTATTTAGTCAATTTCAAGTTTGAGGACTTGGAAAAGCAGATGGTCTTTTGACAAACCCCCACCCCTCCTCTTCTTCTTTTTCATCATCTGTGTTTGTGTGCAGGGCATCTAAACCGCTCTACAGTGAGATGCTGTGATTCCCACGTTAATGAAGTCATCCAGGTGGAAGCCCTCCTAAGGGTGACAGGATGTGGAGAGCTTGATCACAACCTAATGCATATCATTCAAGGGGGCGGGGGGAGTAGACACATTGTATGATTGCACAATTTAAACCACATTTCCTGCCTTGTGCATACTGAGAATAAATAGCTCCTGCATGTTTGAGGGAATGTGGTGTTTCTGAGATGAGTTGGGGGAGTTCTGTAGAAATTAGCTATTTTGTCCGGTTGGGCAAGTGTTGTGGGATGGGAAGTGAGCATCCTTTTTATTGTCCTCCCACTCTCTGAGCAGCATCCGCTAAATTCCTCTGCAATGAATCAGGATGGTGGGATCTTATTAACAGACGGAAGAAACATTTCCGTCAAATCAGAGCCGCAGGGGCACTTGCTCAACCCTTCCTGCAACCTTAAGTGCTTTCCACATTATACTGTCTGTTACGAGTTAGGGTCAAGGTGTCAAACCCTGGGCTTACAGACACATTTGATCCACTGCAGCAGCGTCCAGGGGATCAGCTGCGTTCCCCCCACTGACTCTGAGTGCATTGCTGTGCATCCCAGTTACACTGATATCAACAATTTTATCTTAGCTCTAAATTAGCAGCAGGCCTCACAGCCATAAGCCTGCAGAACATATCATCTCGTGGGTCTATTTTTTTCTTTTCGATGGAAAGTAGGAGAGATTCTTGGCACCAGCCGGTCTGCATCTACAGATCTTCTGTTCTGACTGAACACTAACAGTCTGGATTGGATTTTGTCCATCATTTCCAATCTCTGTATGCCTTGCAAAGCTGAAGAATTCATTCAGTTAGCTTTACTTGGCACAAACTGCTATAAGCTCTAGACTTTTTGATATCACATCATTATTAGCCAAAAGTGCAGTATTATGCTTTCAAAACAAATACGTTTTGTGGACTATATGAGTCATTTTAAATTAAAACCAGACACAAAGTATGCACACATGTTTCAGGGAGACTCAGAGTTCAGACTGTGTTCGCTGGCTCTGGATCGGCTGTACATTCGACATGAGTCAAAGTGTTCTTGTTACAACAAAAGTTTGTCTAGCTGCATCCTTGACGGACAGCACTGATACCAAAGAAGAGCACTCTGTGTTCTCCCACAGATATTTATGTCCAGCACCATCCACCAGCCCCTGCTCAAACATCTCCAGTCTCTCGCTCTCCTCACTTGGGGAAACATCACATTTAAATGCAGTGCTCAGTTACATCTGCAGAGCTGTCACTCAGAAAGGGCTTCAGAGCTCCAAGCTCACCGCATCAGAGCTAATCAGTTGCTAATGTTTCCTCCTGCAGCTTTCAGGGCAGGATGACCCATGATTCTTATCAGGCACCCCTGACCTGCTGCTGCAACCACAAAGAGGGAGTAACGCACATACAAAGCTTTGTATTGATATGGGAAGCTTTTAATGGCTGCAAACTTTTCCATGGCCTTTTTGAGGAGATCATACAGCTGGGAATATGGAGCTAGTTTGCTGGGACACACCATAGTTCTTTAGGGCTATAGAAAAGTGATATAGATTTTAATTCTATGATAACATTATTTTGCAATCCTGCTTTTTAAAGAGGGATTGAAAGGATAGGATAGATACGTTATTGCTCCCAAACACAGCCCTCTTCCCTGTGTTCAGTTTGTACTTCTGTTTGTTCTTTACTAAAGAAAATAATAAATAGAGATTCTCACATTTCAGAGGAAGAGTATTCGGGTGCTCTCATCCTGGTCCCGTCTTTCAGCCTGCAGCAAAATTCTTCATCTATTTGGACGCCGGGGTACGGGGAGGCACCTGAGAGAGGAAGGAGGGGGAGAGGCTCATCACATTATCACATCATGATTTTTTGTGCATTGAAAAGTCACTCAGTAGCTCTTATGCAAGTATGACAGGTGGAGAAGGCTGTATAGCAGAAATAGATCTCTGCACATGACATTTAGTGTAACCGCACCACGAGCTACAGCCTCATAAATCATCATTACGTTGAATCAACACCTTTCTGAATCTGTTTCAACACAAACTGACCGACTGAATAAGATTTATTGCATGACTGTTTTATTACAATACATTTGTTTTTAGATTAATGTGGTTAATCTGATGACTGTTTTCTACTCATGTCCCTAGACTTGGGTTTGACCTTATATTAAAACAATTTGTGTTATTAGGATGATATCAATATGATCAGCAGGCTCTTAGGGAATGAAACAGTCATTTTGTACCTGTCTATTCCCTTTACTGGTGCGAGGGTTCACTGCAGCTTTCCAACTCTGATGTTCTACATGAACACACATTTTCTTAGAAACTCCTTGAGATTGTGTTACATTTACTTGCTAGAAAAACATCAACTATGTAGGATACTTGATTAGAATTGCTTGGTTGATGCAACATGATGACTTAACATAATGTGCAATGTTGTCATATTTGCTGAGTCATGAGTCTGTCAAATAAATGACTCGCAATCCAAAACCATTACTAATTTCATCTAATTCCAACCATTCTGTTGGTAATAACATTTGAATTTGAAGCCTACTTCTCGCTCGGCCCCCTGTGAAAACATGCAGTCATACACCAAAACAACTTGTATCCAATATCCAATTGTTTTCTTGGGGGGAAATAAAGCCCATTCTATGTTACTAACACAATTGCTTGAGTCATAAATAAGGATTTTGTGTGCTTGAACCCCCACATGTAATATAAAACAACATTTTTGTGGTGATACAAGTTTTTGGATGAACCACAGTCTAGCTTGGCAAAGCGACCAAACAGCTCCAAAAGACAAAAAGCTTACTGTAGAAGGAAAAAACTAAATCTGTGATCACACGGTTTATATTGCTAGTTACCGCAGACAAAAACCCAAAGTAGTTTACTTTTTTAAACAAGTGCTATTAAACGTACAATATGTAAAGTTCTGAAGTATGGATCCTTTAGACACCCCTGTGGTGCAGTCCCTCTCTATGCACTCAGTTGTAGCAGTGTAGCAAACAAATTCCCAAGGTTTTCCAAATGTTTCACCTACACCATCTTCGTCACGGGCGGATCCATCCCAAATTCCCCCAAATACTGTACGTTTCCCACGGACGCCACTGATAACGCCATGAGTCAAAGGCAACATGACCATAAGTGTGACGTTAGTTCTGCCTCACAACGCCTGTCTAAACCACAGCTATGTCGACCAGCTAAAGGCTAACCTTTTGCTCAACCCTTTCCTCTGATCAGTAAAGGTCCAGATGTCTTCCAAGAGTAAACAGTAACAATGTGCTAATAAAAACTGAGCTAATGTTATCTCTGACGGACAACAGCATTGCAGACACGTGCACAGAGGGTATATGAAACAGATGGATATCTTGATTAAAATAATGATTTCTATAGGTTTGAAAATAAATTGAAAAACTTGAGGATAATGTAAAACACTCAACAAAATATATGACAAAATGTCTTGTTATTTTTCTACATCGAAGTCCAAAAGCAAACGGACATTTCCAACAAAATGTATAGATACATAGCTTTTACTCAAAGATTTAGTTTTTAGAAACATTTAATTTGCCTACAATTGACTTTCCATTTACTTTGGTGCAGCTCAAAGTAAACATCATCTTATCTAATTCTATCATATTCTATGGTGCGGTGTTCCTTTCCAGTCCGAAGATATTACCTATATAATAATGAAACATAATATACTCTCATTTCCTTCTCTATAAAGGTAATCTCCCCTTGTTGTGAATATTCAGAATGATAAACACATGCTTTAATTTGTGGAATAAACCCTAAATAAACAAGCTATGGATATTTAAAACCCCAAAACGGAACTGACACACTTTTGGTTCAAAGAGCGATGTGAAAAACAGGCTTGGGTTACCCTGAAACTTTTGACCTCAGACATGATCAGGTTGCGAAGCTCACTTCTTTGGCCATTTTTCTTGGACATTTTGTATCATTGTTTCCTGATTTATTTTTCTGAGGCCCCGCTAACACTACCCAGATGTGTAAGTGTTTCTTTAACGGAAAAAAATGTGGTGAGAATGTGTCAAGAGTGAAGAAGAGGGAGAAAGAGACCATAAAAAAAGAAGGAAAGACAAAAGGGAAAGTGTCATAATGACGACAGTGTGCTTTACATTTGAAAGAATATGCAATTTGACACACTTTTTTTCAACTGCAGCGGGTGACGGCACCGTATGGCGGAGATTCAAAAACAGCAAAACGTACAGAATAGCAATACATCCAACTTCAGTTACACTTTCTCTTATGTTTCCACTGCTTCCCATGGAGACATTTAAACATACATTATTTCATGTTGAGTCTCGCTATAGAAACGTGTGTTGAGCTCTGTGCCTCGGTGCGCAGGCAATCATGGACTCACACACAATGCTGCCTTAAAGGCTGCAGTGGTTTCACAGCAGGGAAGCACTTTTACACCGATCCGGCTGCCTGGTTACAGTTTGTGTTTCCAGCTGGGACCGAACGGACAGCTTAAATAGGAGGTGTTCGCTGGTTTTAATGTCCCATGCCTGTACTAAAAATCAAAGTCTAACTTCACTAAGTGGAGTGGCAACATATTTCTCAGGTTGACAATGAAAGCTAAGGCCCTTTGTCCCCAAAGACAGAATTACACAGAAGAAAAAGACCGTTATTTCTCTGGTGAGTCTCTGTAGAGCTCTATTCTCACTGATCACCTCTGATAACAGAGAGGTTGACTGAGCAGCTAGGCTTAATGTTAGCCTGGACTACATGGAATGTAAATGTATTGTATGATTTTCATGTCACACGGAAATCATGGGAAGTGTGGAAATGATTGTAAATATAACTTTGAGGAATGGAAATCCAGACAGTGAACACTGGAACTTGATATTTCAACATTTGAATCATTGTAACAGTCTTCTCTTTTTTCATTACAATTCTGCACTACAGTTACTGTTGGATACACTTTTCACAATCCAGTTTTTTATATAATTTTATGTTTCATCGTGTATGTTCTCTCATCTTATCCGACAACTTTTTGTCCTTTTTTTCCTCCTTGACTTTAATAAGACTACTGCACATATTGCGAGTGGCTAACCTGTTCTCTTGTGCTTTACAACCCTTTGTAAACATACATATGCCTAATCAAATATATGAACTGCTATGTAGTATACTATACATATTAGTTTTCTTTTATAAACGGTTTGTTTTACGTCTCCTAACATTTGTGTGTTTTATGCAAAGGAAGGCTTCTTTGGCCTCGCTGTATGACAGCATGTTAGTAACAAGTGTTCACTGCTGAGCCACGACACTTACCCAGAGAGAAGATCTCCCACATGAGAACACCAAAGGACCAGACGTCACTCTGAGTCGTGTAGATCTTGTCAAAAATGGCCTCAGGTGCCATCCACTTGAGCGGCAGTCTGGCCTGTACAGATATTGAGATAACATTTAGTTTAAAACTCCCTTATCTCAGAACTGTGAACATCTCACTACTTAGACTATGACATCTGTGGAGCATCAGGTGGTTTAAACTGTGTGAGCAGGTGCTAATTCTGAAGAGCTATTCTCCTAGGCCGGTTCTCTTTGTCTAAGATTCAAACAAAAACACTAATCTCAATTATCTTGTTAGATCTCCAAGCACTGTTGTAATAACTCAGTCCTCCTGTTTTCTGCCAGTGATAGCTTACTGTTTAGCATGTTATCTATTAATGAAAGTGCTTTAAGCATTTAATCTGTAAGACAGCTGGAAAAAGTTTGACTAGACTTGAATAAACTTACATCTCCTTTGCGAACATAATCCGGGTCTTTGTAGATGTCTCTGGCAAGTCCAAAATCACAAATCTTTACAACATTATTCTCAGAAAGCAGGATGTTTCGAGCAGCCAGATCACGATGGATGCACTGAGGAAAAAAAGGAATGACAAAAAAAGTGTATTCAGCATGATTTACATTTAGAAGTTTAGGTTTTCTGCTTGCAATTGACTTCACAAAGGCACTCTGCATGCTAAAAAACATCGATGCTGGCAGAGCAACACATGGTCAAGTCATCAGTGATATTTCAATAGGAGATGATGTGTTCCATATCCAGGCTAAGAAACGGTCCGTAACGACAACAATGGCTTTGTTGCCTAATCAGTCCCATCCGGTCTCCCCAGAATTATGAATGACTTGTAAGATGAATGAACTATACACTGACATCCTTTAGAAACACTGGAGTAACAGTGTGTCATAGTAAAGGTTCACATTCGACTTAAAGGTCCCATGTCATGCTTTTCTGGTTATTACCCGTCCCCTTGTGTGTTATGTAGCTTTTTATGCATTTAAACGGTCTGCAAATGGTCACAAACAACCTCAAAGTACCACCCTGTAGCGAAGTAAAACTCTAACACAGAAAAGACCTGTCTATGCCCCAGAACGCCTCGTTGGAGATTTTCTTTTTCCATTTTTGTCTTCCGGAAACCAAGTGACGGGCCCGGTCCGAGCACACACACACCCACAGCCAGGCTGCGGGTGTGTGTGTGTGCTCCGGCTGAGCTCGGGCCGGGCCTCGCCGTGTCCCGCCGTCCCCACACAGCAACCAGGAAACAACACCAGCAAGCCAGCTAACACTGTCCACTCCAGCAGCGAGTCCCACAACGTCCCGCCAACACGGCACCCAGACCCCACGCGGCATTCTCATCTGTTTGTCATTACTGGTGTCATTTCCTGGTTGCTAACGCTATTGTAACACATAATCTCTGATGTTCCGCTGTAACGGTGGTGGACATCAGAACAGAGTAGGCGAGCTGACCAATCAGAGCACAGTGGGCTCACAGGGGGGGGCAGGAGGCAAGCCGTTTAGGACCGAGAGTGAATACACATGCTATACAGAGATGCTGTATGAGAAACCAATGTGAGTTTGGAAAATTGCACAATATAAATCTATTCTAGTACCTAGACCTCAACAATGGAATTATGATCAGTAGAAATGGCCATGACATGGGACCTTTAAGTAAAAACATTGCTTTTTGTTTATATTTTATGTTTACAGTGAAAAAGTGTAATTCTACTTGGACTCAGTTGGCTTTAATGGTTTAAACACACCAGTTAGACATGAGTGAATGAGTTACTGGGTAAAATGTGTCAACATTTAAATCCAAATCCAACTAAAAAGATCTGTCAAAATGTAGATGCAGCTGTTTGAAATGAAAAAGTGTCTTAAGAGAGATTTCTGAGAGGAGTGTGGAGAAGAGTATACCTTTCGTGAAGCCAAGAACTCCATGCCTTTTGCAACTTGGAAACTGTAGCAAATTAAATCTTCCAACGTCAGGACTCTCTTATACAAATCCTCAGATTCTGTAAAACAAAACAACAAAGTATTCCCAGTGAGAATGATTTTTAAATTATGAAGCTGTCTTTCAGTTTAGGACGCTTAATCCTACTCATCTATTAATTGTTCACATGGGGAAACTGCAATTTTAAAGTCCCTGACAAAAACACATCGCTTAACAATCCGTCCTCCTACACACTCAAAACATCCTTTAAACATGAAAACAAATTACAGTTTCCTCTTTTTTTCCCTCCAAATGCAGGTGAAATGTGTGGTTACGGGCCGAGTGCTGCTGGGGGGTCTGAGAGAGGAACTCACGAGGAGGCCTTCCACTGACCCACCTGAGTAAACAGCTAATCAAACCAGAAATAACACATCGGGGACAACATGGCCGACGTGCCGTGTCAGAGCTGGAGCCGCGAAGCAACACTCGGGTCAGGACAGGAAACAAACCGACGCCTCCCCAGACCCAGTGGGGTGACAGAGGCTCCTGCTGCAGTGATTGTACTGCTGAACAGGAGGAGGAAACGTCCCATCAGAAAACAATCCGAGGGGAGCCTGCGTTCCTGGGCAGGAGGGGTGGAGCAGAGGTGAGGGGAGGGGGAGAGGAGGGAGACAGCAGTGGGGACAAACAGAGGGGGGGGAGGGGTGGTGGAAGGGAAGCAAGACGTGCTTGGCCTTTACCTTCTTCCTCTTCCTCCGAGTCGCAGTAGCTCTTATCTTCGATGAAGCCAGAGCTGGCCGAGCTTCCGGTGCTGGCCACGCTCTCCAGGCGGCGCTTCATCATCTCGCTCAGCTCGCAGCCTGAACCTGACGGGACCACCTTACCGTCCTGCCTCTGAGACACACACACACACACACACACACACACACACACACACACACACACACACACACACACACACACACACACACACATAATGTTTAACCACACAATCAGGTTTATTGCCAAGAAGGGGTTCGCTAACAAGGAATTTGCCTTGTATCGCATACATTAAACATATAAGGAGAAAACTAAAATGTATTGAAAGTACAAGAAGGTCAAGAACATAAATAAAGAGTAGAACAATTATACAAAAATATGAAACATGTAAGTTGCTATTTCAAAATACTATACTTATATTATTTATGTATTGACTGGATTATTCATGTTTGTACTAGTGCTTTTTCATATGTTTTTAAATGTGATCGAGTACGGGCTAATTTCATTTACATTTGCCTGTTGCCGGTTGTTTGTGTCGTTCAAAATGTGCGTCGTAATGGATCCCTTGTCTATTTTATCTGCAAACCCAAATCTACCTACGGGTACAAATAAATGACCTAATATAGTTGACAAAAAGGTCCCTAACAGCTCACACTGATTTCATGCGTGTAGACAGAATGTGGAGAAAGCTAAGAGACAGGAAGTGTAAATCACGCAGCTCACCTTGTAGACGAGGAAGTCCTCTCTCTTGCCTCTCAAATAGTTGGACAAGTTGCCATATTTGCAGAACTCCACTATCATCATCAGCGGGCCTGTTTCAGATCGTACATGTTATTATTCCAACATCATGTGATAGTTCAGAGATGAGATTTAAACTCAAAGGTTAAACCGATAATTCAACAAACCTTTCTTCCATATAATATTTAGTTTATATACATTTAAACCCAAATATCAAAACAGTAATAGTTCCCCAGGATGAAGCTCACCTCCGGGCTTGGTGCAGGCTCCCAGCAGGTTGACCACGTTCAGGTGATGGCCGATGTGGATCAGGATCTTTAACTCTGACATCAGAGCCTTCCGCTCATTTGACGTAGCGCCTCCTGTAATAAAACACATTTAGATGGTGCATTATTAAACATCCTGAATACAAATGAATTACATTTTGTTTAATTGCCTTCGAATTTTTTAAAGATTACTTCAAAATTGTTATGGTCAACAATACGAACACCTGGAATCAAAACCCAACAATGAGTAAGAAACATATTTTTAAAAAACTGCAACTTCAGTGAAAATGTCATTTAAAAAAGAACAGTGAAAACAGTGAAACACCAAGTTAATGAATTTGAATATTTTCTTCTTGTATTTACTAATTACTATTTACTTGCACTATATTTTTCTGTTTATCTGTCTTTTGTGTTGCACTGTTGGAGAAGCCGGTGACACAAGATCTTCATCGACATAACTACCCTGTAGCTATATTCGTTTGACAAATAAAGAACCTTGAACCTTGAACTTAGAGATCTAATTTCATTTTTGCGTATTTTTTGGTTTTCCCAGTCCATTAATGGGAACATATCTTGTTTTTGATCATGTTGATATATGACCTGTTTAGATCAAAAATGTGTACATATCAAATCTGAAAATTCAAATGCCAATATTTTTTTCCCGCCTTGCAGTTAAAGAATACACTCTGTCTCAGAAGTTTTCAAGTATAGTGAGAAAGTGGAACAAAAAACATGAACCCTGGCAGCTGGATTACTGGGGAATTTCATTTTGAGAGTTCATTAAATATTAAGGAAATATAATAATATTACTTTAGGCCCAGTGATATGAAGCAGCTTTTGATAGAAGATATGCTCAAAGATAAATTCCAAACAAAATAGAAAAATAAAACAAGAGGTGCTCACAATACAAAACAGATTGACTGTAATATGATAAGTGAAAACAGTGATCTAAAGCCATAACCTTGAATAATGAAAATCAAGAATTAAGGGTTATTCTGTTTTATGTTACTTTGACCAACCAGATATTTACGAGTTAGAAGCTGAAGCACGGTCAAAGTGAGGAGACCTGCTGCTTTCCATTAAGTTTGACCGACGGTTAGCAGCAGCCAGTCTGTTCCTCTCGGAGAGTCTGTGATTTATGCTGACACATGATTAATGCCGGTGACCAAGATATCTCACACATCAGTCTTATTCTTCATGACACATAACCCCAATACAACCAATTACTGACAGCTTCATGGCTAGTAATGCAACAAAAAAAGCTGGATCTTTCCTGTAATTTGACTTCATTCAGTGTATAAAGCTGGGCTGAATGAAATGCTAAGCGGCTGTAGTCAAAACTCTTCAGCTTGGTGGTTTTCATATTTGATCCAACAATCAAGCATACTTGGAAAGACGTTGGAATGGAATCGTAAGTATTTCCTCTTAAAAACAGGGACAGCGGATAGTTTCCAAATGTTGGAATCTCTAAAAACCTGCCAAAAAACAAACATACTTTGTATTGCTCATTTGTACTTGTATGTTGAACTTTTGAACTCATCCACAGATTTTGGACATGCTGATCTGAGCAGTCAAATCTGCATACACTCAATCTCTTCATCAAGGCGAGGGTTAGAGGTCTTAGCCTTTAGCTCCAACTGCACTTTACAAGGAGCAGACATTGCATGCTTTGCTTTGAACTGATACGCCGTACAAACATTAGCTGCAGGCACATGTGGTGCTGCAGATCTGAGTCTGCAACGTGCACAAGAAAATAAATCTTCTGCACGAACCATAGAGCTTATATTCATCTGCTGCCCATACAACATGAGATGCTGTGGCATTAATGCAGGCCTCATGAGCGGGGGTATCTATAGGAACAAGACGTTCCACATGGTCAAACATCCATGTGAAAAACAACAACACGAAGGCCTAATCATTAAAAACCCACTTCTTTTCCCTTGCATTTAAAGACCAGGTGACACTTGTTATTGTTTTTACGTCATGTAGGAGAGTTATTCAGTCTGTGGCTTCTGATCTGGTTTCATTGTCTCGTGTTTTACATTTGTTTCATGTCCTGTCTGTTTTTTTATGTATTTATGCTATGTTTTTATATAGTTGTTGATGTACAGCACTTTGTTCAACTGTTTTAAATGTGCTATACAGTAGAAAAAAAGTGGATTGGATTTTATAACAATGCTGAAGGAAGAGTATAAAACAGAAATTGTGACACCTACCTTTCAACATTTTGACAGCCACAGTCTTGCAGGTGGAGAGCTTGTCGATCCCAAAGGCAGAAGCTTCCACAACTTTTCCAAATGCTCCGTGGCCAAGAGTTTTGCCTGGCAAAGGAAGAAGGTATTTGCTAAGTGGGACGACATTAGAGGTTCCTGTTCCTCGGGCAGAAAAATCGGACTAATTCCCCCGTCAGTCAGGCTGTGAGCCTTTAATTAAAACAACAGGCAGTCTCTCTCCAGAATTTATGGCTCACTTAAGACTGGATGACAGCGCAGGTCACTGATAAGTTATGACCCTACACAACAGCTGCAGAGAGGTCACACCTATTGCATGTACCTTAATGTGGCTGTGTAGATTCTCACCATGAACCACTTTTCAAATGAACTTTTAACCTTTTCTTACAGAAATCATGTTGTAGTCAGTGTCTGAAAGTACTGATATACAGGCACATTGCTCTGGGTGGTACCAGGTGTGTTTATATGCCAATCAAATATGCTCAAAGCAGAGAGAGACACAGTGATGTAACATAAAGTTACAGTAGAAAATATATTTTTTTAGATATCTAAATCATTCCATCTATCACCACAAATAACCAATCATTCAGGAAATGACCTGCTGGGTTGCATATAGTTCTGTATTTATCCAGCTAGCCATCATTTACAAACACTAATATTGTAACTCTGTTCTATTCTGTTATTGTTTAAACATTACTTCAACAACTGCTTGAGTAAAGCTTTGGATTTCAACTTCTGTAAACATCAATTAAAAATAAAACGGAAGTAAAAAAAAACAACTGTGCCTTGACATTGCCTTTCATTTATGGTACTTTTCGAATACGAAACATTTCCCCACACATTGGATTCTCACCTAGTCGCAGTCGGTCGCGGGGAAACTCCCATTTGCTGCTGTCGTACTGAAGAAGATCGTTCTGCTCCTCCAGGGGACACTCGTCAGGGTCGATGATGATGGACGGACCCATCTTATACTGTGGTTGCTGATGGTGTTAGAGGACACACGAGTTATTCAGGATTTTTAAACTTAATATTAAATCATCTGTAGGCAATGAAATATGTTGACGTGACTTTCAAAGTTTTTGCTCTACACACATACTTGACCTGGTCAAAGGCACTGTGAGCTATGTTTCCTTCCTATTTTTATTAGCAAAGCACTTTCAAAATTACATGGAATCCTAAACACTGGCTAAATGTGTCCTTCCTTTTAACTGCATTTCACAAGAAGCACGAAAAAAATAAAGATGATTCACTGCCAGATTACTCAGAATATGTGGAACACTTTTATTCCCCAGTTTATTTCTGGCAGAGTTTTCTCTTGTGTGCTGCAAGGATCTAAGGACAGACGGTGTGTGTGTTTAGCACACTGAGGTCAATGTGTGATATTGTTCTATATAAATGAAGATTGACTTAACTTGCATTTTTCACATCCTGTCCAATACTAATCTCACGGTTTCTAATATAAAGAAGTAATATCACATCTTACCTTCCTCAGCTTGCGGATGAAGAGGATGAGCATGAGCCAGAGGAACGTGGCGGCAGCTCCCGTACACACCAGAATGATTACCTCAACGTTTGGCTTCCCTTCATCTCCTGGAATGAGAATAACTGTCACCAACTAGCAGGCGTCTTGGCAACAAAACACTGTGTGCTTTCATGATCTCATAAATTATCATGTATTATTGACAGGGATTTGTAGAGGAGTGTAAAAGAACAGTCTGTACTGTAACAAAGTTTGGAATCTGTTATTTGACTGGAGACGCTGAAACTTGTATTTTACGTCATTCTTCTGTTTATTTGTTTCTTCCTAACTCTTCACTGAGAGATTGTATACAACAATGAAGTGGAAAAACACTTGGTGTTTATTACTGGGATGTTTAGGACATGCATACCTCACTTTTTCCTATAAAACCCTGTTTTTCAACTATCCATGTCTCAACGCTGAAACCTCATATCCTTTGAATCTGCACAAAGTGTTCCAGCTCTTATGTCATGCAATATTAGACTCAACCGCCAAAGCTGAACATGAATGCTGCTTGTTGCTGAAACAACTTTTTGGGAGGGGGGAATAAAACAATTGTTATAGATCTAGAGAAATTCAAGTGTCAGCATAAATGCATCTAATTAAGTGGCTTGACGTGGAATAAACTACATGCATGAAATCTCACCTATACTGACACCTCCATCTTCCCAAGCCAAGATGCAATTCATCTTACATCTAAAGCTACACAGGCACGCTCACACATTAACAGACATGCTACTCCAATTATGGACTGTGTGTTTCCAGTCCCTTGGCTGTTGTAGCAGTCAATCTCTTTGCACTCATTAGTGTACCTCTTAACACTTCATAGAGGTCATGTCCTCAAGGTAAGGACCCTCCACCAGAGCCTAGATCATAAAACCCTAGAAGGAATTCACTTGGCATTCCTGGCAGCCACACGTTTTCTGTCAGGGGAAACTCTTCACTCTGAAGTCAGACCAGAGACATTTTGTTGTTCTGTGAACAAATCATCAGACCACGAGGAACTCTGAGACAACTTGATTGCATAATATGCAACGACTCCACTGTTTAGATGGATGATGAGTGTATGTTATCTCTAGAAAGACTGACTGCAGCACACCACTTCAAACAAAGAGACCATTATTGTTAATGCAGACGTTGTTGGTTAGTGTTGTTTTTGTTAGTGGTTTGGTAGTTATTAACTCAAGCTGCCTGAATGACTTACCGAACACAGTAACAACAGCACTTGTATTGGCAGACCCCTGGTCATTGGTGGCCACACACTCGTAGCGACCCTCGTCATCTTTCGTCACCCTCTCGATGGTCAGAGTCCCATCGTCTCCCAGAGTGATTCCTGCAACAGAAAAACTCTTTAATTGGTGTGGTATTTAACACTTTAGTTTGCAGGTGCAAAGGCAAATGAAATGCTTTATTTTCAGGCACTTGAGCTTGTAAAAATTGTGACTGAAAACAAACACCAAGGTTGTTTTAGATATTTTATTCAGCATGTTTTAGCCAAAACTGATCATTTCTGTGAGAGCTCAGGTTAGGATATTATATGAAAGGATTTAGCATGCTTATTTCTCACAGTATACGGAGTAGAGGCATTAAGTCAATTGCAGAAATGTCTTCACTATGCATAGACAGGAAAATCAATAAAGAAGGGGCATCCTCTTCAATGTGAACAATGAATGTTTTGTATTTGTTCCTTGAGCATATACGCCAACTAAAGAAGATTTTATTAAGAAACACCGTCCTTGGACACATTGGGAAATTATAATTATAAACATATGAAGCAACATTCAAAGGGAATAACAGATAGAATAGTTTCCTCATTGTTACCTGGTCCTTTTTCCACGAGAAGGTCATTTTTGTACCACAAGATGTACGGACGAGGAACTCCCATCGCAAGGCACGGCAGCTTCAGGGTGCTGCTACTGTTCATATCCCGATTAGTCAGATTCTGACTCAGCCAGGGGCGTTTTCTCACTAAACATAACGAAACAAAATAATAAGAATTACTCCTACTGTGTGTTGCAAATAGATTTCTGCGTTCCTGTGTATGGAAACTTAAGAGTAACAGGACCAATTATCACATGATGATATTTCTACAGCATGACGAATAGTTTCTACGTTCATCAGCTGACTATTTAGTAATCAGCTTCTCATAAACATCTTTTTAAACTCACCATCCACAGTCAGTGCAGCGTCCCTGAGTTGAACCCCCTTGTAGAGCTTGTGTGCTTGGCACCTATAGCCTGCAGTGCTGATTTGGGACACATTGTGCAGACGGAGAGAAAGAGAAATGGAGTAGTTGCCGATCTGAATACTGGACACGTTGGTAGTGATCGTTTCATTTCTGGAATCCAACCACTGCAGGTCTGTGTAGAGGTAACGTGTTGCCCGACAGGTCAGATTGACGTCGTCCCCCTCGACGACCGCCCGAGGTTCAATGGCAATTTCCTCAGGGTTATCTATTTTGACAAAAATAAGGCACAACATGATCTGATTTATTTGGATATTAGGATTTATTCTACAAAGATGGACAGAGACACGAGTCCTGCTGGCCCGGGATCCTCTGTTGGACATTAGTTCTGGACACAAAGCTGCTCTTGCAATGTCAGGAATGTCAAGTTCCCAGTTATTTCCTGTTTCATCATTGCTAATTGGAAGCACGTTGCCGTTGGACAGCATTGCTGATGGCGCTGCTGCAGTCGTCCAATTGGAGAGAAGCTGAGTCTGGGCCTCAGGGGAACCAGACTGTGCTTGTTTATTCAGATTGCTGGAAAGCATTGTGTGTTCAGTAAAAGAAGACAGCTGTTATTACAATTGTGTTGTCCTTTTTTTAAAGCAGCATTCCATCTTTCTCTTTCTTCCTCACCTCTGGAAGAGAGCCGGATTCCTCTTAGAAACTCTCCCACTCTGAGAGGGGGTTACCTACGTCTACCCCTTTCCAAAAGCAATCCTTCACCCTCCAAGAGATATGATTCACTTAGCTTTTAGGAGACTCACATTGTTGCAAAGTGAACTGTGCTTGTGAACATTATCTCCACTCATATTACATATCTGTTTCAATGGACATTCATTTGGAAATCCTCAAATGCACAGAAAAAAGTGAATTCTCAAAGCAGAAGGCTCACAGAGAGAGAGAGGAATGACCTGCTGGCTCCGGTGTAGGAATGCAGTTATTCATAGCTGTTTTTAAACGCGCGCCATTATAGCGTCCATATGGCTCAGGACATGTTCGGCTCTCTTCCGCCCTGAAGCCGCTCAGCTACAGTGGAAGATGGTTTCAATTAATGCCCCCCTCCGGTTTCTTTATTGCACAATACATTCTGCAAATTCCTTCCATGATCTTGCAAATTCATTACAGCGCATTTTTCACGTGTAGATCAATTGAAGGAATCCAGTTCCCAGTATAGTGCAGATAGGAAAAACAATCTCTCTGTGCACCTTGAGCTGAGCAGTTAAGATGTTATTGTTATTGTTTCAGATTCTAGTGACCCACTTACCATCAACGTAGAAAGGGAACGAAACGGAGCTATGGCCCTCTTCATTCCTGGCCACGCAGGAGTATTTTCCTGACATGCTGGCGTTTCCGATCACCAGGGTACTCACAATCTAATTAAAGATAGGAAGGGGAAATGTTACTTATGTTCTGCTGACTGAAGCAGATAAAACATGTTGAGATAAACAACTAAATATGTGAATATGAATCACTTACAGTGGTGGGGAGTGGCAGAATGAGTATTCTGACCTTAAAGATAAATACTAAATTGCAAAAAGACAATGATCCCCTTAAAAAGAAGAATGGTGATCAAACCAAACCAGAAATATAAGCCACATTTTTCCACTTGATTTTCAATGTTAATTGGGAAAATGGGCATTTTATTTTTTTGACGGGATTATTCTTTCACCGAGTAATTCATTGTTTAAAACCAATTGATAGCATGAATAAAAAAATTAAAATGCATACGGACATGCAAATGAAAATGAAAGATTGGGCATCTGTTAACAACGGGACATATTGAAAAGTGCTAATGGATGTTTTTATATAGTTCTGCTGTTGTTAAACTCTTCCCCCGTAAGGAAAAGTCCATGGTCTTCGTTCGCGTGAAGCCTTCACAAATTCAAAGTAACATGGGCTAAATCATATAAACATAAAATGATACTTTTGGGGGGGAAGTATTTCTCTAATAGTGAAACATATCGTTACAGATCTCAATCCCCATCAGAGAAATGAGTGGCTGTGAGCAGGCGGGTGAGAGGTCCTGAGCCTGCTTCATACTCTCCAGTGCTTCACATTAATGAAAGGATACATCTGGAGTTTAAACCCCACTGAGTCTCCTTCAGACCTGGGTTATAGATCTAGTGCCTGGGCTTTATGTTCATTTCCTGGAAAGCACTTCTAATGCCACACTCAATTCTGTCATTGCACTACTACAATATTGTAATGGCATAAATAGACAAATTAATAAGCGAAACTTGGTTGAGGGCCAGACTGTGTGGGGCTCTGTTTAGTGTTCACAGTGACATCTGTTTTTTCGGGGGGCGAGTCGGCTACATCAAAGAGAGTGAATGATGTGGGTGTATTGTCTGGGTGTTCGCTGGCCTAAACTTCCTGGGCTAGCAGGAGCTATTGTGCTGCCTCTCAAGACTCACAGCTGCAGCCATGAAACAATTTCAGTGCTTACAATTCTCACCATACAAACATCCAGGCAGTAAAAAAATAAAAAGTGATACCATATTGTCCATTTCATGCGGCTCTGACACTTGTCAAAACAATGATGGAGTGGTCTTATGGTATTACGTTACGGCTATTACTCACCATGATGTAACCCAAGCTCAAAAACAGTCATTTAAATAATTGTGCGCAGTCCCTAGAGGTCACCTGACCATACGCACCGTGACCTCTGTGCCCACTTCCCCCAGTGTTTTCCTTATACTGTGACCCGGGCCAGTCTCCCTCTATACTCGGTCTTCTGGGGAGGCGCTCAGAGGCCCGGCCCTGAATACGTTCTTATTCACGGGCCAACACGATTTATGGGGTGACAGAGAGGAATTCACTTCCAACAAATCCCTCTTCTTTTAAACTGCTGCTTGTTATCATTGACCCATAGTGCTAACCCTCATAAAGAAGCAGCGTTTGGCCACAAGTACTTGTAAATAAACGGTGCCTCCCTATTTATGTCAAAGACAAATTTGAAATGATGTCCTGTGAAAATGGCCAGATTTCCGATTACTTGATAAGCAAATAATTGGGTAACACTTTATTTTGATAGTCCATAGTTAACACTCTATAAGTCATCAGTTGACATTCAACAACACTGTTTCAACAGACAAGTAACATGCATTCAACTAACTGCCAGTAGAATATACATTAACCATTAGTTGATGATCAACATATATGCAACTTTAAAGTTTAGTTGACTATTACATTAAGCATTAGTTGATGATCAACGGATAAGCAACTTTAGAGTTTAGTTGACTATCTGTTGATCGTCAACTAATCTAGAGTTGACTATTAGTATACTTTTAGTAGGTTCTCCCTTAAGCGTTTGTGGGCATGTGTTAGGACTATCCAATTAAAGTGAAAAACAGTTGAGAACAGTAGAAAGTCTATAACCTATCAACAGAACACATACATTCATCCACTAATTATATGCAACAGACATGGGAATAAAGCGAAATGTTTTGCACAACTGATCACGAACACTGGATAACTGAAGTCAATACCAGGCTATAAAGCACAGTAGAACAAACACTATACAAAGCAACAGCTCATCCCCTTTTCTGTCAGTNCTAACATTTTATCAGCTAACTATGCGATGCACTACAGTGTCAGCTTTTCTAAAATAGAAACTTCAATGTTCACATCTTTCTAAATGACTCTACTTTTCAATGAATTGAAAAGTAGAGTCATTTAGAAAGATGTGAACATTGAAGTTTCTATTTTAGAAAAGCTGACACTGTAGTGCATCGCATAGTTAGCTGATAAAATGTTAGGGATAAATACCTTGACATACTGACTCCAAGAGCTTGAATCAAACAAGCAACCTTGTATTTGAAAGATTAACTCACATAGAAACAGTCGCACCTGGCATATAAGTGGTGTGGCTGAGTACTTTAAAGGGTTCATGGATAGAGGGGACTTGAATGTTAAATAAGAACAAGAAAATAAAAGTCTAAATGCATGAAAAAGCAGCAGAATATTTGAACTGAAAACTTTAGAACTAAAAGCATACGTCACCAATAATGTCTAAAATATGTGGAACATGTTGAAGTCAGTATGAAATCTCCATCAGACGGAAAAGAATAGGCTGAGACAGTCTGTTAAACTATGTCCAGTGACCACGTCATTAGTCTGCTGCTCTAATTATGTCAATTGGAGTTATGACATCATCGTGTTCCATGACACAGGTGTTTATATTTGAGCTAACGACGTGTCCAGAGATCAAAGGTTTCCATGGTGATCAGTGAGAGGAGAGCATTTTCATTGTTCTGAATGAGAGATAAACCTGTTACATGTGAACGTTTTGTTGAAGAACCGTAACAGATATCGGGGAAATTTCAAAGTGTGAAGCATGTCAAGGAACTTGAGCATCTGAAGTGTACTTTTTGTGTACTTTCGGGTTAATAATGTGGCCTTTTTGGCAGATTAACTAAAGGTGTGCGGCTGCTGTGGTGGGGAAAGATGAGGCTGAACTTACAATGGGGTTTAATGGAGACATGTGGAGACAAAGTATTTGTCACTTCATGCCCTCAAGAGGCATTTTGTTTAATTGTTGTTGTAGATGGGTAAAAGTAGAAAGTAGAAAACAAATTGAAATACGAGTAGCCACAAGTGCCTCCGAATTGTACTTAAGTAGGTTACAGTCCTAATTGAGTAAATGTACTTAGTTACTTTACACAAATGCTTCGAATAGAGTATTCCTATACTGTGGTATTTCTACTTTTAATTGAGTACAAGAAATTAGTAGGCCTACTTCTTCTCCCCCGGTTTTTACGCCACCTAGAGGTTACATTTTAATTCAACATGATTATCGTCTTATATTAATGGCAGTTGGCCTCGACAATGAGCCTCGGTGGTCTGTTGACATTAACGGTTGGCCAAGAATCAAACGTCTCCATGCTCTGTTCAGGCTGTGAAAACATGCATAGAAACTGAAACGAGTCAGAACAGAAGTGAGTATGCTAATTTATGCTAGCTAAAATACTATAGCTAACATGATTTGTTTGTTTGGGTTACTAGCTAATGGCAATTGTTTTGTTTGTGAACCTTGTGAGTTAAAATGGAGCACAATGTTTTCCTTTGTTACAAGATGTTTTTAGTTTATGTGTGTTAGTTGAATCAATTAACGTAAACTTAGCGACACTTTATCAACCCATGCCGCAGTGACTCCCGCATATGACGTCACATGCATACAATACACTATAGTATAAATGTTTGCCTCTCATGTGATGCTATTTATTCATGTTGATTGTGTTGGTTTGAGCTGCCAGTGTTAGAAATATCATGCATATCATGTCTGCCTCTTAAATATAATGGAACTAGATGGCACCAGACCTGTAGCATTTGAAGTGGAAAAGTAGTTAATACAAGTTGTTAATAATTTAACAACCAGCTAATATATATTCAACACTCCGCAACTCACACCACAAAAATCGGGATAAATAAATATCACTGCAGGTATTTTTGGGGTGAACTGTCTTTTTAATCAAAGGTAATGCTAAAACTACTAAAATTTAACTGAAAGTCTCACAGATTTGTGCAATGTTGCTGAATAACAGAAACATTCTTGAATTGAATGATCCACTTCATTTAGATATTTTCAAGAGGCTTGATGTAGTAAACTGATCCAATAGTTCACTACTAATAAAGGCTTTAAAGAAAAGTTTCAAAATAAAATCTTGCAGAAACATTTCTCATGACCCTTCACATTTCTCCTGCCTCTCCCCTAAAAGGATCCCACTGTTGGGAACCTCTGGCACAAACAAACAGGACCGGGGGCTTTGGACTATTTTTAAATCCAACCAAGTTGATTCACAGAATCTAAATAAGACTTTATTAATCCCAAATGAATGATTAAACCGTAATGAAGAGGTGTGCAATTGGTCCTTGCTGCTCCTTGGACTGAGAGACTCACTTCCTTCTGCAGGACAAGATGTCGGCAGCCTGTCTGCTCAGCAGGACAATGCACCTCCGAAACGGAAAGGAAGGAACTCTTAATCATCCTCGTCACGACCGGAGGACGCCACACACGGGGCTTCCTGTGGGGGTGCAGGGCGCAGGGTTACCGGCACTGGGTGTGTCCGATGGGAGCACACGCCACAAGACAGGTTGGCTCCGACTGTCTCCACTTGTCCTGACAGGATTTACTACTGTTGACTGTAAGGTAGGAGCACAACATTACACCAGAAACATTATCAACAACCTCGTACTGTTTCCAGAATATGACTAAGATACAAACAAGGGAAGGATGTTGAAGAGGGGGGGCGGGTGTTCTTGACTGTCAGATTTGAGAGTCTGCATCTCTGCAGTGTTTTTCCATAGGCATCCGTAAGAGGGCTGCCCTTATCCTCTTCTGAGGGGCCACTCCGCCCAGGGGCAACACTGCCGCTGTTTATTAAACTTCTTTGTTGCCCCCTTTAGTCAATTAGTGGAGTGGTGTATGTATGGTATTAGTCAACTATGTAAAAAATACAAGCCAGTGAAAAACAGAATTTCCCCCTAGTGGGATTAATAAAGGTTAATCTTCTTCTAAGCGGTCTTTAGTCAGTTAGAGATTTTTTTCGTGTTGAGTGATTTTACATTTTCCAAGAAGCTTATGAGCACACCACCGGTGAATACAAAATCTTAAGTGGTGCTTTTCCATTATTGGAGACACAGATCTTATGATTATGTCAACTGATTGATTAGTTGGTGAAAATGCTTAGGAGTTTTAGTCAACTAAGAATTTGGCGAAGAAAGCCATAATTGTTTGTATTATTAATCAAAAGGATATAAGTACAAGGAAAGGTTACTTATGCAGATTCAAGTTCAGTTCACAATTCACATTTTTTAAACATACTTAAAGAATGATACTTTGTAAGATGTCAACTCAACTTGTCTAACTCAGACTCATGAATCGTATTTACTTACAGTACAAGAGTATTATTGAACAAACTATACTCTTATTGTGTCTTTGCAATAAACAAGTTACAAGAAAGGACATGACACACTATTGAGCAACACAATGTCAGTGCCATGACCTTGATAACTTCTCTTTATTGTTCTGTGATCAGAAGTATTACTAATATAACCTGTGGGAGAGTAAATCTGTCACCAGAGCAGGATATTAGTCGAGGCGTTTTGGCTCTAACTGCAACCTTATATTAAGTCCAAAGTGTCAGTTGTTATTAATATAGGCCGAAAGCCCAATTTCACACATTTACTACAGGGGGCTTTACAGTCTGCATCTCTCTTTAGGGTCTTGATAGAATTTTTCTTTGACATAATGTATGGCATTTGTAATAATTATAAGTTGAAGTAATTCATTATAACAATACCAGCGAATAAGTAAAACCCCCCCGTAATAATGAATTCAATTCATTGGAAGGAGAGATAAGGAAATGTAAATGAATAGAGGCCGATGGCCGGATGGATGGCAGCACATGAGATCTGAGGATATGAAATGGTTTCCAAACCAGGAAAGCATTTTTGTTGGAAAAATAAACTTTAACAGAAAAAAAGGAGCACACCTCAGAAAACAGAGATGAGGAACCCCCTCCTCAGGATCTAATCATTCTCTCCAAGTATTTAGTTATGGAAAGCAAACATATTACATAATAATCAGAAATGTTCTGATCGTATCAGATACCACACCCACTGCAGTCTGTCTTTGACCTTTCTTTAATACTTCCACAGCCTATTCCCACAGCAAACAGATCTGAAAAACACCTCATTAATCACAAAAAAAATGACACAAAAAAACCCACCCAGGATCCATCTGATCTGTGCAGCTTAAAATCCTATCATTCACTACAACCCCGCCCCCCCTTCTATATATAACGGTGCACAATGTTTTTCACAGACCCCTGCCCAAGAAGGTGAATGGAGGGTAGCAGCATCCGCGCCTCTCACCTCAATGCAAAACAATGAGCCGGATACTACCTAACATCATTGCACCTTTCAAAAGCAGAGGACAACAAAACAACACGTAAAGCTAAATAAAGACTCTTCTATAACAGGCTTCAGCACCACTGTAGTTCAAAGGGGAAAAACAACAACAGGTTAATATAATGTTGTGTGTAGAATCTATTTTAATTTGAATTAAAAGAACAAACAACAAAACCTTTATCAAGGCAAAAACAGCTTTGAACCCTAAACTAATGGATCTTGAAAATGCATTCTAGAACAGAAAGCTTGTATAGTCTGCCTACCAAAAAACTGTACATATTGCACCATTTTTCCTTTATTCATAGCATGTATTCCCCTTCTGTCCGTCCCTGTTTGTTTACTGATGACAAACAGAGACCAGACTTATAGATTCCAGATAAGACAGAGTTTCTGGGCCACTCCTGCTATAATATATTCTTTTCGTAAAATCAGAAGCTGCCCGTTAATCTGATTTCTGATAGTTTCCAGGAAACTACAACACAAACTATGTGCGCCCTGGACAATTTGTTTCATCCATGCACAATCAAAGGCAAGCGTCCAGTTAAACCAGCTCACTCTTGCCCCCATTGTGTACCTCTCTGGGGTGGACGAGCAGTGTGTGGAGTACTAATGCCACCAGGGGGTTCTGGGAAAAACGCTGCTCACAGTGGCATAATTAATGTGAACATGGTGGGGTTACTCCGGAGCTCAGATGCATGTTTTTTTGGGTTTATCTCGTTTTTTGGTGACTGGAAATTTATTTTGATGAGTCTAGGAATATAACATTTTAACTTCCTGTTTGCGGTGGCATTTTGTGGCTTAGGTTACCAAACGTCGCTTCACAAAATACTTTAAGATCCCAGATATTTCTTTTGCTTTCTGTTTTTAGTTTCAACCAGGGACAGGGTGTCGTAAATGAGCCTTGACTAGAAAACCTATGTGCATCACATCTGTATCATGTTATTGTAACCTGCAATGTTTTTGACAAATAAATGAATAGAGCTATGTTTTTGTTCTTTTTTTCTTATCTCTCTTGTGAAATACGTAACACAACATTTTAAATCTGTCAGTCACCTGGGTAACAGCTTTGGTCCAGACTGACACATCTAAACAACTATTGGATGGATTGCTGTGAAATCCTAGATTCCCAGAGGATGAGGACTTCGGTGACCTCCTGACCTTTTCCTCTGGCGCCACCATGAGGTAAACATTCACGGTTTTCTTTTGGTGAAACGTCACTACAACTATTGCATAGGCTGAACAGATTGCCATGAAAGCAGACACACACTTTCATGTTGCTCTCAAAATGAATTGTAATGTCTCTGGTGAACCCATTATGAGCATAATAGCATGCTAATGTTAGCATTTAGCTCAAATCACAGCTGTGCCTCAGTTTAGCCTGAGCTGCTGGCATGGCTATAACTAAAAGCAAACCTCCTGAGTGAATGTTTATCTGTTTTTTTTAATTTTTGTTCTGGGAATAAAATGATTCCAATTCTCGGATTTTTATAGAATAATATATCAAAGGCATTTTTTAAAGTTGAGTTCATTGACAGGCCGCCCCCCAGGATGTAGAAAATGTTCTTTCACCCTTGAAAACAAAATAAAACAATTCACAAACAGAAACATTTTTCACATTCTCGCCAACATCTATTTCTGTCCTATCCTGAATGAATCAATTAAAACACTTGTACATGATTTGTGTTTGCTGTAACCCACATGTGTTTTGCATTTAAGATGACAAACGTGGGATCGTGCCTCGGTGTCAGCCATGCAGTCAGATTCTCTAAAAATAGTAACAGATGGTCCTGTTTTACCTCTTTCCTGCAGAGAAACGCTGTGGCCACTTGAAAAACATCAATGGAGTTATGCAACAAACTGAATTCCTGGGCTGACTGTCACTGATCCACTCCGTGTTCACTCTGCTGAGCTCAGGGAAAGAAGAGACTTTAGTTCATCTGTACTTCAAGAAGACATTTTAGTGAGAAAAACAGACACATGGATATCCATTATCACATTTCAGTCAGACAACTCATGTGTTTCTTTGATATGTTTATTAGAAGCAGCATATAGTTTGAGTGTGGCGTCTAGGCTCGGGCCTCATCACTCCACAGATTGACATAGAACATTGAGTGATGATTAGATAACTATCGCCACCGAGCCTACAGGTGGATGGTGTGGGGGGGTGGGCGAGCAACAGAAAAGTGGAAGTAGCAGCAGCATTAGCGATGCAGAGGCAGGCTAATCTGAGGCTTAAGTAGAGCGGCAGGTTTAGGAGGATGTGTTTGGTTGGTTGTAAGAGGGGCAAGAGGCGTTACGTGCAAATGGCCGCCCAGGACTAATCGAAGGATATATGAGTTATACACTTATGGAAATATGGACATTGTGGTGAGACCTAATTCATTTTAAACCGCAGCTTTTAAGACTAACCAGATAGGAGGTCCTTATTTTTTGTAATGGATATTTAAACAGAAGTGCATATTTGATCACATTTAACTTGTATCAGTTGTTGAGTCTGAAACAGAAAACCCAGAATGACCCTGGAACATATCCTGGATACTCTCACAGTCACCTTATCAATCTCTTGCAATGCACTCTCTAAGCCATACATACATCAAGCTGTACATCTGTGCATCCTTACATACTCTGAGGACAAAGAAACTGCTGGCCAAACACGTACTTGACATACTTTTTTGACACATAATCATTTATTTGATTTTGTTTCATGGGATTTATCCCTCTCACTTAGCATATATGTGTTGCTTTGTCTGTCCTTCCATCCATCCATCCATCTACTCAATTGACTGAATACTGTATTTTGTCCTTCGGTTCCAAGCAGTGGTGGAAGAAGTACTCAAATGTGTTACTAAACTAAAAGTAGCAATACTACAATTTAAAAATACTGTTACAAGTAAAAGTCCTGCATTCAAAATTGTACAAAAGTAAATGTACAAAAGTATTGGCAGCAAAATGTATACTCAAAGTACCGAAAGTAAAAGTACTCCTTAAGCGTAATGTCCCATTTCAGAATTGTACATTTATTGAGATACTGGCAGGGGTTAAATTGGGCCGGGGCTGTCCGGGGCTCAGCCCCGGCACATAGGACGATGCTCTCACGTCATCACCCTCGCTCATTTGTCATTTGTTTAAGCCATAATGTTAAAACATCTCTCGTTCTTAATATAGACTTTATCATATTTCTCCCGGAACCTTTCCATAAACAAATGTAATTTAACGGTAAATAGGAGCAGGGCGAGCTAGGGTACCGGGTGAAACCGACACTTCGACGCCTGCGGACTCATTCGGTATGTGGGGGGTGAAGTAGTGAATGTCGCGGATAGCCATGTCCCGTTTAATTTTCGACATTGGCGCCCACTTTTCCCCACAATGGAACTAATTAATACTTACAAAAAAAAAGAATGTAGTTCGCGGGCTTTTAATCCTGTACTCGCGTTTGTAAGTTTTTACAAAAAAAAAGGGAGGGTCTCGACGGTCGCGTCGCGGCGGGAGGTCTAAAACCGCCGGCGCGGATCCGCTGACGGATACACGCGCGGACTAACGTTGTGTTTTGGTCGGGACTGACATTGGATGTTGCCAATAAATTAAACGAAAAGTGTTAACTGCATTACAGTACGAAAAAAAAATAAGAGAACTTCGTCTTACAGAAAAACAGACGCGTAAGAAAGGTCCTAATTGTTTTATTCTCACGCACCTCGTGAACACGCGTCTGTTAGAAAACTCTTCTCTCATTTACGCGACAACGGAATTTTCGCAAGGGTGTAACATGAACACGTTAGCACTGTTGACATCTTTTCTCACTCTCCCATGGGTTCCTTATCCGTGTTATCTCGCATGATATTTCTTATTACTTTCTTAGACGAGGATGTTGCTGCTGGTTATGTGATGTTTTTGGTCTTTGTATGAACTGTACCAACCATTGATATGGGTAGTTTGTTCCGGAAGATTCTACCATATGACAGCCATACATACTTGTTACAAACACTTAAACCCCCACACCTGCCAGTGTGAGGACGAATCCCCCAGGCGCGCTCCCCCCACATAGCCGGGGGGGCCCTCCTTCTTTCAAACTTGTAAAATGTTCCATTTTTACGAAGTTAGACCCACGTAGAAACTCGTTGGTGTAATGATCTCTGGACTGGACATTACAAACAAGTTCTCCGACCGCGTGGTCTTACGCGGCCCCATGGAAAATCTTACAGTTTGGAAAGAAGGGCCCCCCGGGTATGCGCGGGGACCTGGCGCCGGCCGGGGATGTCCTACACCTGACAGGTGTGGGGGTTAAGTTTGTTACCACAGCATGGTTAAGGCTTATGTAAAACTCGGACAAAACTGACATGATGAATGTTGTACGAGTTATCACAAAGACCAAGAAAACAGTCGACATAACCAGAGAACACAATCTCCACACACAGTAAAATAAGCGAACATATATACGAGAATAACAACCAATAAGGAACCATGAAACATAGAAACAGATAAATGCTAACCTTCATTACACCTTCGCAAAATTGTTGTCCGGTAAATCGAGTTTCTAACAAAACGAGTTACAATAGAAGTAAAAACATATTGAGGACCTTCTTACGGTCCCTTTTTTTTCTGTAAGAAAGCGTTCTTATTTTCTTTTTGTCACTGCGTAATGCATTAACACTTTCGTTTTTAATTTATTCAACAAATCCAAGTCTCAGCCCTCCCGACCAAAAAGCCGTATCCGCTGTATCCGTCGGGGATCCCGCGCTTTAACTGTCACCCCCGTCTCGCCGCCCGGCGCCGACGGCGCGACGGTCGAGCGACCCGTCCCCTTTTTTTCGTAAAAACTGACAAACGGCGAGTAGGATTAAAAGCTCGAACTAGCATTGTGTAAGCTAATTAATTCAGTTCTTCCATTTGTGGGCAAAAGTGGGGCCCAATGTCGAGAAACGTATACCACAACGGGACGATGCCTATCGCGGCGACATTCACTACTTTCACCCCGCCGCCACAAACCGAATAGGTCCCCGCCGCAGGGGTTCGAGTGTCGGTTTCACCCGTAGCCCTAGCGTCGCCTCTCTCGTATTTACCGTTAAATACATGTTGTTTTATAAAGGTTCCGGTGAGAAACATATTAATACACCGCCTATTTGTCCAAACTTTAGCTAGAGGTTACATATGATATCGCTGTCATTGTTTTTTATAACCACAAATTTTGAACTCTCTATGTTTTTATGACGGTATTTATTTAAATTGATCCATTTTATTCTACTACTTTGTTGTTGTTTTTATTCCCACGTAAATACAACGATAACCGATACCATCCATGAAAACAAACAAAGATGACCCTTGCTAAAAGACCGTCCCCACGCGGGTTCGAATTTTAGAGCGGAACCCGTCGGTATAACCAATCTTGGCCGCGGGACTACCACAATCCCTTTGCCGCCGAGGCGACGAATGTTCCTGTCCCGAACCCGCCAAACCGGACCATGGTGACGGTCTGAGAGACCGTGTGTGTGTGTGTGTGTTGTGTGTGTGTGTGTGTGTGTCGTGTGTGTGTGGTGTGTGTGTGTGTTGTGTGTGTGTGTGTGTGTGTGTGT